CTAAGTCTTCATCAATAAATCACAGTACTCCAATGGGCTCATAAATTTTATAACATGCCTTTAAGCAACTTGTTTATATAGACAGGGTCCATGCTAACGATGTTTGTTCAAGGCCTTACACATACTAGGACTGCCTTGGCTGGTGTCCTCTTCTTCCTGCTGTGGTCCCCTTGAGCTCCCCTGAGCTCACACCTGTCATATTCTTTTTTTTTTATCCTCACTCAAGCTTATTGATTTTAGAGAGAGGGGGAGGGAGGAAGAAAGAAACATCAAAACATCGATTGGTTGTCTCTTGTAGGTGCCCCAGCCAGGGACCAAACTCACAACCCAGACATGTGCCCTGACTGGGAATCAAACCCATGACCCTTTGACTTGCCAGACATCATTTAGATCTCTGACATCTGGCAAGATAGCCACCAGCCATATGTTGGCCACTGAGAATTTGAAACAATCTAAACTGAGATGTGCTATAAGTATAAAATGTACACCAGATGTCAGAGACTTCATTTGGGGCGCGGGGGGGAGTAAGATACCTCACTAAAAAATTTTTATATTGACTACATGAGTGATGAAATGACAAATATTCTCTTGTAGCAGATTAAATATATTACTAAAATACATGCATCTGCTTCTTCTTTCATGGGGCTACTAGGAAAATTTTAAACTGTTTGTGGGTTGCATTATGTTTTTATGGCACAGGGCTGCTTAGACTGAGGCCTCTCCTCTTTGTTCAGAGCTGTATGCCTAGCTTAGAGCAAGGCCCAGCACATGCAGGCTGTTCCTAACTAACTCTGATGTGAATTAATAAAACTTACACTCTACGTACTTGCCAGCACAGTGCCTAACAAACACTTTTGGAATGGACAGATGAACTTCCATTCTTCCAGCTCTCTGTTCTTCTCTTGATTCTGCTATGTAACTCCCACCTGCTTCACCAGGGCCTCTAGTGCCAGGCACTGATTTTCCAGTTGGTGGTCCTAGTCCTGGCTCTTGGGCCACCTCAGTAAAACCCTATGAAGGATTCCTCAAGCTCAGAAGACCTAGGATGACTCCTGCTTTAGGCACAACAATAATGAAGGGATACGTGATATTTTAGTGTCCACTCAAACAGGCCTGTTGTCTCTGCACATGTCGGGTTCACAAGTTCGATCCTCAAGACTGTTGACTTGGATGGGGAATATTTTAGGAAGACTGGATTGCAGGCAATCATTTGAAGCAGATGGAGGGAATAGTAAAGTATCCTAATTTCCAGTTTTCTAGTACAAACAAGCATCTGACAGTCTGGTAGGCTCATGCTATTTCTGAAACCAGCCTGCAATATTTCTCACTGCCTCATACAGCAGGAAATGGAAAACCAGCTGAGCCACTCATTAGAAGTGAGACAGGTCCCTTCATTTCTCTGAGCCTTGGTTTCCTCATTTATAAAATGGAGGGTAATTAAATCTATCTCACTAGGCTATAATGAAGATTAAGCGAAGTAATTATATATACAGCGCATGGCATTTAATAAAAGTTCAATCAATGGCAGTGATACTTAACACCACCCCAATGGGATGTCTGCAAATTAGCGAAGAAAAAGTATTCATGGTGTCAGGTTAACAGATGTCTGTCATAATGACATTTTATATTTGTTCATTTCGACTATCAGCTAGCTGGACTTGCTCATCAAATAAAAATAGCTGACATTTATTGAATATTCAGTGTGAGGGAGGTACTATGTTGTGCATTTAACATGCATTTTTAAAAAAAGACTTGTTTATGTATTTATATTTTAGAGAGAGGAGAAGGAAGGGCAAAAGAGAGGGAGGAAAACATTGATGTGAGGAGAAACATTGATCAGTTGCCTCTCACACGCCCCCAACTGGGGACTTGCCCCACAATCCAGTCATGTGCCCCAAGGGGAATCAAGAGACCCTTCAGTTTGCAGTTTGTACGCCCAACACACTGAGCCAGACCAGTCAAGGCGTAATGTGCAGTTTTATTTAATCCTTGCTATTTCAGGTAGCTGCTATTCTAATGGTCAAATTGCAGAGCCAGAAACTGGGGTTCAAAGAGGCAAAAGAACGTGCTCCAAGCCCCATAACAGTTAAGGGACAACATCACAATTCTACAGGCTCTACGATTTTACTAGGCTGTTTCCCAGCGCTGGCAGTTAGGCAGCCCAGTGACATGGCAGATGCAGCCATGGGGACAGAGAGGCCTTGGTGAGCTATTCCTGGTACACACTGTCAAGGCTACCACTGGCTTCATCCGTCATCCTTAAAGGCCGTTTGAGTTTTTTGCTTATGTAAGTAACTATGTTGGTAAACACCCTTCAGGCCAGGGGTGTCAAACTCATTTTCAACAGGGGCCATATCAGCCTTGCGGTTGCCTTCAAAGGGCCAAATGCAATTTCAACTCCTTAACAGTTAAGAAGTAGTTACAATTATACAGCCCTAAAATCATTTCAGCCCTTTGAAGGCAACCACGAGGCTGTGCCCCTGGTGAAAATGAGTTTGACCCCCCTGCCCTCGGCCGTTGTGAGCAGAGACTCATTCAGCTCCCTCTAGCAATGGCACAATAGTGGTGCATATAAGGTCTCTTCGAAGCAAAGGAATACAGGAATTTTTGTCATGTGGTCACATCTTAAAAAGTTCAAGGCAAACTGATGCCCAAGCCCTCGTTGCAATGCAGTCTGAGTGCTGCTCAAAGCCAGGGCCCGTAGAGCACTCATGTGGTTTGGAAATTGGAATACCATCCTCCCCTCTAAGAGTTCTAGAATGGTTCTCTCGCCTGCAACAGGAGCTCAATGCTCTGCACTCTGATGCGAAAGGGACTCAATTCCTGTCTGTTTCTCTGTCTCTTCCTGCAACCTACTCAGGCTCTTGACATACTCAGAACGCCCCAGGAGGAAAACCTGCCTGGCTCGGTTATCACTGCTCCTGCCCTAGACCAATGTGATGGGTTAGGCCTGCCCTTGGTACCTGGGCGGAGCTGTGGATGGGGAGGGGGAGAGAGGAAGGAGTCAGTAGAGCTGACAGGTATGGAACCTGACCTCAAGACATGCACAGCCTGGTCTGACTACAAAATCCCAACTTGCCAGGCTACCAACCTCACCACATGGCAGATGTTCATAATCAGGTGCAGCACTGTGGTGGCCTGAGGCCTCTTGAGTTCCCCCTTCACCGCCACCACTCGCTTCCCTGGGCCTGGTATCCCAGCGGAAAGCTTCCTACCTTCCCAGGTCCATGGTGTGATTAAGGCCGCACAGGCTGCCATGCACACTGAGGTCAGAGTCTCTCACTTCACTCAGATCCCATCTCCCAGGTGAGGACTTCCATGTCTATTAAGCTTAAAATGTTCTCTTCCTGCTGGCCCCCAGACTTCCTGTCTCATTTCCCTGCTCCATTATTTTTTCCCCTTAACTCTCTCTGGCATATTACATGTTTTAGTACTTCATGGGATGTCTCTGCCTCGAAAATATAAGCAACACGAAGGCAGGAATTTGTTCTTTTGTATTTTTCTGTTTACCAGTTCCTAGAATTGTGCCTGCATGTAATTGAGACTTGGTGTGAGTAGAAGGAGGGCCAGGGAATCCGCTCTGGGTGGAGGTTTAGCCAGAGGAGGTTCCTGAAGGAAGGGACAAAAGCTGCGTCAGGAGAGCGTCTGAAATGGAGGTTGCATTGTAGGCAAACAGGCCAGGAAAAGAACCTGTCCAGGAACTGGAAATAGTAGAGAGGCTGGGCCCACGGGGCTTGTGGGGAGGCATGTGTGAGATGGGGGAGCACGGGCAGAGCACAGGCAGCTGGGGAGCCCTGCACATCCTTCGTGGAGAATGGGGGGTCTGTGGTGGGGCAAGAGTGGCAGAGGGCAGGGGAGAGCTCCAGGACTGAGGCAGAGGGTAAAGGAAACCCTGAGAGAACACACAGAATAAAGGAGAGGGGAGAGGGGCGCAGACACTGCTGCTGAAGGCTGACCAGAAGCAGCTTCGATGTGTGGGCACAGTCAGTGTTGAAGAAAGCGGTCTATACATGCCTGGCAACAACCAACAGTTAGAACTTCACTGAAAAGGAAGTCTGGCGTGTTGGGGGAAAGCGGTCCTTTTCCCCAGAGGACAGGGCCATGGTTGGATGGCGCTGATGCAGAGAGGATGAGGAGCAGGTGCGGAACTTCCAGAGCAGATGTTCTGGGCAGGAAGCAGAGGGGCAGGGCAGATGTCAGCACCTCCACAGAGCTGGTGGGAGGAGTAGACCCTCCAGCCTCCAAGAACGCCACCCGCTGACAGAGGCCCTCAATGTGCTAAATTCACAAAGGCAGGCCTGACCACCTGGATTCCACCTCAGCCCAGTCTAGGTGATTTTGATTTCAATTTCAATGGTTGGAATGGACAGCCAACTCCTCCCTTTTCTCCCTGGCCTTTGGGAGAGGTTCTCTGAGTGGATCGTACCTGAAAAATGAGGACAGAGTAACAAGCATCCACAGGGTGGTGAAGCGCATGCCACTTAGCACAAGTCTGCCATTACTGTTACCAAATCTACCTCGTGGTAACAGTCACCGTAACTCAGCATCTGGCCTTTGCTTACCGCATTCCCAGTTCTGCCCAGAGCAGCTGTTCTTCTTATACTTAACTCCCACCCCTGCTCAAAGCCAGCCCCCTGTGGCCACCCAGTGTACTTCCACCCTCAGAGCTCAAGGTGCTGCATTCCTCAGCCCGACTCTGCCTCTTTGTCCACCCCACCATCATCCTCTCTCCCAGAGCCCTGGCCTAAACATTCCTGGGCCAACAACCCTACCAGTTCTCTCTCCTACACCTGAGCCCCCGGAAGTACTCAGCCCAAATTCCATATCCCATTTCCTAGCCCCAAGGTCAAGCCTTAGGAATGTGCCAAGTGGGAAGCCTCAAAGACTGGAAACTGCAAAATCTTGCCTCTATGGCCCACTTCCTCTACACCCAGCCTCGCTGCCACATGGCGCTATTGATTTAAAATAAGAAAAAAAGAACAGCAGAAACAAGCGGCAGGGCCATTTCATGGTTTATTGAGATAGGTGAGAGGACAATGATGCACAGCACAGAAAACGTCAAAAGGAACTCTTGGTTCTAAAAAGTTACATGAGCAGTAGGCAGGGGGACACAGAACACGGGTGGCCTGGCCCAGACGGAAGGAAAGCCACCATCCTGGTCCACCATGAATGTTCCCAGCACCTGCTGCAGAGGGGCGGAGCCTGGGAGGGTCTCTGATGCTGAACACTCTCCCAGGGTCCCTGGAGTCCGGGCTCTCCTGCTGCCCCGCTCCCTCAGAGCAAAAAGTCCTTTGATGTCAAGCCCTTTGATGATGGGGTGAGAAGGTCCAGCAATGCATCAGGTGGCAATGCCACTCTTCACTCCAATGTCCGTGATCAATCCCCAAACTAATCTAACAGAGAAAGTCAAATGAGGCCAACAGCTTGGAAGTTCCACCTCAGAAACCCGGGCCTGCATAGCCCCCTGGCTTTAACTCACCATGGGGAGGCCCCCCTCCAGGGAAGCTGCCACCCAGGTCACCACCTTGAGGGTCAATGCCTCCACCCCCTTGGCGCTTCCTGCCACAGTCTCCAGGTCCAAGGCAGCGCCCCTAGAGTGAGGAGGAAGCCACAGAGCAGGAGGTCACAACAAGTGTTTGGTCTCCAGTGTTATTTCATTTTCTTCAATTGGATTTCAGTGAGAATGCCCCCGGTTCAGCACAAATGAGTGGCCAGTTGTTTATTCCACATCAACCCCAATACAAAAAGGAATCTTAATGCTCCCAGAGAAGAGTCAAAATGAACACTGTCAGAAAAACAGGACTTTCAGAGCAATGGAGCAGATGTAACTGGCAAAGAGACGGCTGGAAAGCTTGTTTTCAGGGACTCTCCCGCTGCGGGCCCTCCGCACGGTGCTGGGAGTGAAGGCCACCACCCCCTCGGCCGTCCCTCCACACTCATCGCCTGCCTGCACATCTGTCTCCCCATGTGCCTATGCTCGCTCCAGCCTCAAAACTGCCCTTGTGTGTTGCTCCCTTCTCCTTGAGCTCCTTTCTATTGCTCTTCTACCTCTCCCTTTTGAGGGCCTCCCCAGGTCCACCACCCCCAAAAAGCTGCTTCCCTTGGATGACTTTATGGCAGTCACTGTATAACGCCGTACTGCACTTGTTCATCATGCAGAGTTCATCCTCATGTGTGTAAGCCTTGACACAGATGCAGTCTGGCTCTGACACAGGAGGCCACGCTGAGAAAGGCCAAGCTAAAAAGTCTCCTGCCATTGACTCTCACGGTGGCCCACAATGTCAGAGAGTGGAAGGCACTGGCTGCAGAAGCAGGAGTGTGTGAAAGCGTCAGCATTTGAAAGGGACAGTGTGGACCCTCCAAACACGGGAAACTGCTTTCAACAATTCCTCTCCCTGCGTTGTGAACGACCGGGGCACAGACAGCCCACAGTCGCTTTTGAATGCAGGTACGTGCAGGGCAGAGAGAGACGCAGGAAGAGAAGCAGGCGTCAGTGGCCTGTGGAACAGACTGAGTCTCAGAAAATGACCCGCCAAGCACAGGACCACAGGAGCGACCATTCTTCACCGTGAAAGTCCCTAGAACCTCCTTGCCAAGGGGAATCAAAGAGAAGTCACTTCAGACAAAAACACTGGGAAAATATTAGGTTTGGAGATGACGGGAATCATGTGGTCGTAAGTACCACAAAAGTCACCTCTACCATAGCTTTGTTTTCAAATGGAAAAAATAAGGGTCTGAATAGGTCACTGACTGAGAGAGAAGCAGAAGGGGATTCGATCCCAGGGACAGGAGTCTCTGATGCCCACCCCTTCTCCCTTACGTGCTTCTGCTGCAGCTCCAGGGAGGGAGGGCAGATACCTGGGAGAGGACTGTGGAGGCAGCAGCCTGCAGCAGCTGCCAAAGGCATGAGAAGCGCCAGATGTGATCCAGTCTGGCTGGGGATGGGGTGGTGAGTGGACTGAAGGACTCATGGAGGGGTGAGAGCTCCCCTCACCTCTCTGCTTGCTCCCTTACATCTTCACTCAAAGGCCCTGGGAACGCACACCTGACTGATGACTGTACTGGATGCGAGGAGCCAATACTCCAGACAATGGGCCAGAGAGCTTACCTCGAGGACACTGGGGTCCAGAATGTTTCTGACATGACAATTCCCATGAGGCCTCTGCACACAGTGGACTTATCTGCAATAGGCAAGAAGCCACAGATGAGCACCTGACTTGTCCCTGCTCACAAAAGCTGCCAGATAATAAGCATTCCACACATGTGGGCTTTTATTATTTCCTGAACACACATACTATTTCTTCATAAAAAGGAAAGTGGTTAACTCTAAAGAGACAGCGGATGGCCCACAGCTGGGTAGCTAGTGCTGATTAATGTGCAGTGAATCAGTGACAGGCTAAAAGAATGCCAAGGCCAGGTTTATGGCTGACTAGCAGCAACCATGCTGGGCACTGAAGGCAACTTTAGCAACACACGTAGCCTGGGGCAGCAGGGGCAGGAACACGTGAAAGCCCCAACAATGACACCACCTCACACAGTCCCCCAGGGCCAGTCCCCCAGGCCCTGGAGGTCCGAGGTGTGTGCTGAGATGGAGGATGAATGTGGGAAAGCTCCAGAACCGGGAGGCGAGGATGTGGACTCCCCCAAACATGGGACAACCCATCCATGTTTCCTCTACCCGCACTACCAATGAGCGAGACACAGGCGGTCCGCAATCCCTTCTGAATGTGGGGCTGGAAAAGGACAGAAGGCTTGCTGATAAAAGAGGCCAAAGGCAGAGGCTGGGAGCAGTCGGCTCAGTTGAGCACAAGGACCCCGTACATGCTTCTAACACTGCAAAGATTCCCAGGCAGGAGAGGCAAAAGGGGAGACACCTCTGAATGAGAAGTGACACAGTTCTTAGGCTCTAAAAGACAGGGACTATATGAGCCTGAGAAAAACAGCTTCTATATTCCCACCTTCTGGAGGATGAAATGGTGATAAGAAATCTAGGAGGAGGCAGAAATGAGACTGAGACCCAGGCGCAGGCGGGTATCTCAAAATCCTTCCTACTTTTGATTGAGACATTCTCCTGCCCACATAAAATTTGATAAAGGGTTCCCTAAGGGCTCTCAGAACCAAGCACATAAAGGGGAACCGGGTGCATTCTTAAAGGTCCCGGAGAGGGTAAAAACTGGGGGCCAGGACAAAGCCACCACATCTCTCCTCCATCTACTTCCCCGCCCACACCACACCCAGGACACCTGCCTGCACCTTGTGGCATGCAAAGCCCCAGGTCTCCAGAGGACAGACCTCACCTTGGGAGCATCGTGGTCCAGCTGCTTCCTGCAGGATGGGGATACCTCTCAAGGGCCCCTCTGCATCAGGCTGCCTCCTCTGCAATAAATGAGAAGCCATGGATGAGCAACCTAGATGTCACCTGATTGCAACAGGTACTGATAAGCACATGCAGAGCTTCCGGCGCAGCACCTGGCAGGTTCACCAGAATGGCTGTTGTCACTAACCCAAGAGGCACAACACTTTCTCATGAACTGAATAGAAGTTTACAACTCCCCATGGGAAAACAGATGTGGCAGAGAGGTTTTTCAAATCATCTTTCGTGCATACTCGGAGGTTCCAGAAGCTGGATCTCGAACAGGATTGGAATCCAGGACAGGTCTGGGAGTGTGCAGCACCTGATAGGCATGCCTGGCCTGGATGCGGGAGGCGTTGCGACAGGAGCATCTCAGGTTGCCAGTGAAGGGAAGGTCAGGTTTCTATCTATACCAGCCTCGTCTGATTTCATTACTGCTCTGGTTCCTGCCACCGTAACTGCAGGCCGTGAAGAAAATCCTCTCTTGCTGGGCTGGGCTCCATCCCATGCCAAGGGCCTACTAGACAATCGGATTAACAATTCCAAGAGGAAGGAGCACAGAGGAAGCGCCCTCACTTCCTCCCAGCTGGCTTCCCTGATCCTCCACCCAAGCCACACCATTGTAGAAGGATGTGCCTCCCCTTCTCTCAGCTCCTGTTGTGCCTTTATTTCACAGCTGCTGAACACTGGGTACCTGTCAGGCACTGAAGCTAAGAAGAGGCAAGACTCAAGATACTGACCCCTCATACCATGGCCTGTGTGGCTCAGTCAGACAACATCCTGCAAACTGAAAGGTTGTGCGTTCTATTCCCGGGCAGGGGACAGGCCTAGGTTGTGGGTTTAATGCTGAGTTGGGGCATGGGCAAGAGGCAACAGATCGATGCTTCTCTCTCACACTGACCTTTCTCTCCCTTTCTTTCTCCTTCTATTCCCCTCTCTCTGGAATCAATAAAAGAAAAAAAAGTTTCTTAAAAGATATTGACCTCAAGGTCAGAGTAGAGAGAAGCGAAGGACAAGAAAACCAACGATTTCCACAAAATGTGATTAGCACCCTCATCTCATATCAAGCCAGTCCCCAGACCACATCACACCAGGAACCCCACGTGCCTGAGGACCTGGACAGGGGAGAGAAAGGAGGCAGCGACGGCTTCCTGGAGGGAAAGCCGGGGCGAGATGTGGCCCAGTTAGTGGCTGCACAACCAGCACATGGCTCCCTGAGACCCAGCCCTGGCTTCAGCTGGGCAGAAAACAGCCCACGTTAGTGCCTGCTGTCTGGTCAGGCAGGGGACAGCAGCCCAGACAAGGCCAGGATGCTGAGCGCCACCATTTCTTCATGTAAGGAGTGCATCTCCCCTCATAAGAGAGTTCACAGGAAGACCGACCTTTGGTACCAATGCCTGAATTCACCCCACAAATATGTACTGAGTACCTACTATGTGCTAAGCATAAGGGGGTTCAAAAACAAACTAAAACACAGACAAGGCCTATAACTCCCAACACCCCCCAGCTCTTGCAGTTTCCCTATCGGAACTCTGGCCTTTTGGACCCCAAATTCAGCCCTATATACCACACCAGGCCTCCTTCTGCACAAGGTCTTGGCAAGACAGTTCTTGGGGTCCACCTGAACTCTGGTACCACCTCCTCTGCGGGGGCAGGGTGCAGGAAAGCACCTAGCCCTGAGTTCAAGGTGCTCAGGAGCTGCAGCACTCACCTAGGAGACGGCCTCCCCCTCCGGACAGAGGCAGTGTGGGTCCATCAGGCAGTGAGATCGAGGACCGAGGACCGGAGGAGGGAAGGGGTGCTGGCTGGTGCAGAGCCCCAAAGGCCCTTCAAGAGTTAGTTGTCATCTGTCTCCAAAAGCCACAGAGTCACAAGACCTTGGCAGGGAAAAGCAAGAGGAAAGGGCTTTAGTGTGGAGCAGGGACACAGGAATCTAGACTCTGGGGCCCTGGGAGTGTCCTTAGATTTAAAGCTCAGCCAATCTGCCTGTAAAATGGAAGATTAAACTTTCCTTTAAAAGTTACTGAGGGAAAGTGAGTTCACGGACATAAGAACTCTACGTAGGCAACCGATGAGAGGCTTTGGGGATTCATGCCGGGGTTGGAGGTTGGGGGGCAGTGAAAATCAGGGGGCTCCGGCGCCCCTCAAGCCCAGGGTCACACGAGACCCCGCACGACTCCGGCCGACGCGTCGCTGGACCTATTTCTGGCCGCCAGCAAGGACAAGATTTTCCTGCAGGGCGAGGAAGGACCGGGGTCGGACACCCGCACCGGCTCGCTCTGAAGCAGCGCCGGCCGATGGCTCACCCGAGACCCCTTTCTCTCGGACACAAACCCAGAGAGGTCCACACCCGGCGGAGGAAGCGGGCACTGAACTGGGTGCCAGGCCTGGGCTCCGAGCTGACCTCCGGTCGGCTCTCCACGCCCCTCGGGGCCTCAGTTTCTCCTCTTGTCGAGAGCAGGTTGAATGCAGCACAGCGCAGCTTCGCCTGGCCGTGACTCACTCGGAAACCAGGACGGTGGCGGCGCGCTCACACGGGACAGTGCCAGAAGGTGCGGGACCACTCAGCACAACTTCGGCGGAAACGCAAGATAAGGCTGCGCGCTCCAGCAGCTCTGCTCGGGCGGAAATGCAGCTGCGCCCGAGCGGGGTTTCGTGGTTCTAACCACACAAGTGGTCTCTTAGTGCCCCCTAGTGGATCGGAGCTGAAAATCGGACCCGGATTTTCAGGATATCCAAGGATCCCTCCAGCTTCCCCGTCAGTCCACCAATCTATCCCTCCCTCCCTCCATTTATCCAGAAAGGGAGGAATGGGGAGCTGTTTAATGGGTACAGGGGTTCAGTTTTGCAAGATGAAGAGCGTTCCTGAGATGGATGGTGGTGATGGTGGCACAACAGTATGAATATACCTGACAGTACTGACCTGAAGGTTTAAAATGGTCAACATAAGTTTTATGAGTATTTTATCAAGGTTTGAAAATAATACATTGAAATGCAGTACCATATACGTTTTAAAACAGTTGTTTATAGTAAGCTAGTTTAATCAGTCACAGTTATAATCATTCTATAAAAACTAATATCCATTCATAACTTTTAAAAAGTCTTAGAATTCTAGAAATAGAATATAATCACAAACCATCAGCTAACGTCACACATAATGGTAAAATTATAGAAGCAGTCTTCTATTTTTGGGAGTCCTCCCAAAATAGCCAGGGATGTCTGATAGCCTCCGCTAGGAAAACCCAAGGTTTTAAGATGTGCTCATCTGGTGGGGTGAAAGATAATGGGCCAAAGTCACATATCATTGTCCAAATATTCAGGCAAGAAACTTAACAATCCTCAAACCAAGAAAGTTTAAGTGATTAGCTACAAATATCTCAGTAATCTAGTCAGCAAAGAAGGTCCTAAGTTGTTCAGGGAAGCCCAATTAATTAACCATCTATTTTCATTAGTCAAGAAGGTTGTTTTCAAGGGTCGTCTACCATGGACAGAAGGAAAGTTCAATCTCACTGTTGAGGTTATCAGTCTTTATCCAGGACTCCATTTCCCGGGGCCCAGTTCTGCCAGTTTTTGAAGGGAGAGGGATACCACCTCTCATGCTTGTTCCCATGGCAGAGGCCTGGGTCATTTATACTATTCATTACTGAGCCCACACTGATCCCTTCTCCAAAACCAGGGGTCTTTAGCCCAGGACAAAAATGAACGTGAAGCAAAACAAGAGAGGCTGAGGGGGTCAAGACCCTGCTAGGGGACTCAGGGAGAAGGAGGTGCTGAGGCCTAGGTGGAAGCTGACCCTGGTGGAGAGACCCTCTGTCTCATCCCGGTCTGTCAGAGTATCCAGAGAGGGGTTGGGGCTGCTGGAGACTCCAAAACAGACCAAGATCCAGGCTGTGAGGCAGCCCAGGAAGAACCAGTCCAAACCCTGAGGATCTGGGCTGGTCAAGGCTTCTGTCAGGCCTCAGTTCCAACCTGCAGGAGCCCGAGCCTATTGCTTCCGGTAGATGCAGTAACAGAGGAGCAGTAAGAAGACAAGGAGGAGGATGGACAGGTAGAGCAAGGTGTCCAGCATGCTGATCATTCTGAGCGTGGGAATGGGGCCTGGAGCTCCTGCAAGCCTCACAGGGCCAGTTGAGGCCCTGGGCCTAGACCCTGGGCATCACCTCCACGGAACAATCTGCCCAGCCAGCTGTTCCATTTCCCCAAGGGAAGGGCCTCTCTCAGGCACTGCGAGGTCACAAACTCTAGAATGGTGGAATGTTGGCCTCAGGGCTACAGCCCAATCCTATATGAATGCAACCAGTATGTTGAAAACAGGATCCCTCTTCCTATGTATTCATAATTTTTTTTTTGCCAGCCTCTTTAGACTTTCTAAGTGGAAGTATCTTTCCCCTGTCCCTAGAGAAATATCAGGCGGGCTTTATAGATTTTCTGAGATTCTTAGGTAGTCTTACAATCACTAAAAATGAGGAACACAGTTTCCCTGATTTTAAATGTCCAGTTTAAGGTATTAATTACATTTTCAATGATCATTTATAAGTAGAACTCCTCTCCACCAGCTTGGACCGAGTATAGAGTGGGCTGCCATCTGCTGTGAAGGGGCAGGAGCCTTCTCTCCTTACTTATTCAGATGTGTTTCTCCTTGCCAGGTTTCTGCTTACTCTCCTGCTTCCAATACCTCCAGGATCCAAGCAGATGGAGCAAAGAGGAGGGTGGAGGGGAGGCTTCTCTCTGGGGTGGGCTCGCGTGTGATGCTGCATCTCTTTCTCGGCCTCCATTTCAGTGGTTCTTCGGAGGCCCCTGTGCTGGTGCTCTCTGACTGCATCTCCCGTGAAGTGAACAGGTCTTCTTAGAGCTCCCTCCTCTTCACAGGTCCCCACACGAGTAGGACCTTTTGGGTGGCGGGCACACATTCCTACCACAGATTCCACACCTGCTGAAGGAGACGAAGAACCTTTGTCCAGTGAGTGGGTTGGGTACTGGCCACCTGTTGTGATATGGTGACGATAAGAAATATATATTTGGTCATTTGGATGACTGCAATATGTTCCTCATATATACGTGGTCTTCGTCCAAGGCTCCTTACTCGCAACTCCCAAAACCTTTGGAATTTCTTAAACATTGAGAGTGCTGAAGGTGAATGAGCTGACTTTTGGAAGCACCTGAGGATGGGGGCTGGTTGGCAAGAGAACCAACCAAGGAATTGAGGGTTGAAACTTTCAGTCCCAACACCCCACCCCCAACCTCTGACCTTTAGGGAGGAGAGATGGGCTAATTTAGCCAATCACGCCTTGTAATGAAGTCTCCATAACAACCCAAGAGCAAGGGGTTTGGAGAGCTTCCTCTTAAGAAGTCCCAGGTTCACCAGTATGGTGGTGTGGAGGGTGTGGAGGGTCAGGCTGTCAGCCTCCTGCCTGATTCTCTCCTCTGCCTCCCAAGGGCTAATGAAATCCTGATGGCCTTAGACCTGCTCTGAAGAACACAAACACAGCAGCCACCCGTCACGTGTGGCTGCAGAGCACTGGATATGTAACCAGCCCAAATGCTAATATACTGTTTGTGTAAAATACACCTGGGATTCCAAAGACTTTATAAAATGAAAAAAAAAAGTAAATATCTCGTTTATCAGTTAAAAGGATGGATTATGTGCCTTAATGATGATGTTTTGGTTATCTTGGTTATCTGTATTTTGGTTAAAATATATTACTAAGATTGATTTCATCTTTTGTACCTTTCTAACATGACCCCTAGAAACTTTAAAATTATGCATGTGGCTGGCATTATATTTCTACTCACCTTAGACTTTTCAAACACAGCTCACTGCTCTGCGTGATAAATAATCCCACAGGGCCCTCACAGCGACAGAAGCCCTGGGCTTTCTCAGAAATACCGAAGTATTGCAACTGCCTCGACATGGCCATTGGCTCTGTGTTATGCTCTTGATCTAAATCATTTCACTTAATTAGCACAGCAAGGCTATGAGTAGGATAGCTGGGGAGCTCTGACTCTGCCCATTTTTCAGAAAAGGAAAACTAAGGCTGGCCAGAGAAGTTAGGTCACTCAGCCAAGGTCACTGGGGGAGAAAAAGCAAGAGTAGGAGGCAGGAGTGGACATCAGGGCTGGGCCGCCACGAATGTACACACCTGACCCCTTTGTCCAGCGTCCTCATATCCACAGCACTCCACAGCCCCTCCCCATCACAGAGACCCCCAGTGTCCTCACAGTCTTAGAACCCCAACAGCTTCTCCCAGAACACAGAATGCGGAGTGTTCCCATGCTCACAGACCCCCATTTTTTTCTCTTGGCCACATACATCTAGATTGGATTTCTGTGATGTGCTTAGTGAGTGCCCAGGGCCTGACCGAGGGAACCAGCTTCTCAGGCCGGAGGTTCAGCTGTCTACACTTCAGAATGCAGGCCGAGTTAGTGGCAGGGTGGGCGGCCCCAGGTCTGAGAGGCACATGGGGCCCAGGGTGCAGGCAGTGTTGGTGCTCATGAGATTTGGGGACCATGAATCCCTTGCCAGCCCTGTGTCTAGTGTGATGTTGGGGGCAAAGGACCTCTGTCTCCTCTGTCACTAGGCAAATCTGATCGAGTTCCTTGTGCTTCAAGGACTCACTCCATTCTCTAATTCCATTTTAATTTTAGGACAGGGTTCAGCAAAGCACCTGCCCACTTCTCTGGGCGCATCTCATGTCACCGCTTACATCCCAGTCTCAGGCCACTGGAACAATATTTGAGACTGGCGATGTCCAAGTAAGTACCTGGACAGAATTCATTCATTTGTTCAGCTGTGCCAGCTACTAAACCAGATGCTCTGAATACAATGGTCACCGTGCAGATTCTATTGTCCAAACTAAACACAGTGAACACTGAGCTCCTGCTAATAAATGCTCCTCACGTGTAAACGTGACCATTTCTACACATTAATGATGTCAGTAACCAAGGAACACCTTCAGAACGAATAGAAAAGCAAAACAAGTGGGGGGGGGGATTATTTCCATGACTCCACAGGGTTTGGGGAAATTATCCCAAATCCTCCAGATCAGAACTTAAACTCCGCTCCACTAGGGGCCGCGCAGAACCTCTTGCGCCAGTTGAGCCCAGGGAGGCGCCACTCTAGGGCGCAGCCCGCGCCCCAACCGTATTTCCGCCCGCGCTGAGCAGTTGGGGGAGTTGGCGGTCCCAGGTCTGCTGTCTGCATCGCCCCACACCATCTCCCGAAATCCTTACACCTCTACGTCTGCCCGCTGTACGATCTGTCTTTCCGCCGCTGTCCGGCATGGTCGGTTTCGGCATTCGGGTGAGTCCAGTGCAGGGAGCGCTGGGCGGGTGGTCTGCGCTTCTTCAGTGAGTCCCGGGAAATTTGAGGCCCAGAGGGGCCCGGAGAGCCCGCAGAGGTCAGCCTCCAGCCTAGGCCCAGCTTCCAGTTCCATGCGGGTTCCCTCCGCGGGGTGTGGAGCTCTCGGGTTCGTGACCTGCAGAAACTGGCCTCCTGGTCAGCCGACGCTGCTTCGGCGCGGGCGGGTGCGGGCATCCGGACCCTGTCCTCACCCACCACGTGGACAAGCCTTGGGCCTGCTGACGGCCAGAAAAGAGCCCGGCGGTCCCGCAGGGAGTTGTGCGGAGCCGTGCGTGACCTCGGCCCTGAGGGGCGCTGATTTTCACTACCCTCCCCACCTCTGATTCCCGGCTTTTAATCCAGGCAAAGCCACTGGTCAGTCGGTTGCCTGCGAAGGGTTCTTACAGCCGTTAACTCATTGCCCTTTAATAACGTTTAAAGGAAAGTTTAAACCTCCACTTACAGATCTGTTGGATGAGCTTTAAATTCCAGGATACTCACAGGACCCCGGAGTCTGGATTCCTGTCCCCCTGCTTTGTACTAAATTTCCTTCCTCACGCTTTACCCTGTCTAGGCATTTGGACTTTGTGGCTATTGAAGACAGATGATGGCGCTCCGTTGGATGGCCCTTGGGGGCCCTTGGGGCGCTGCCCCAGGCGGCGCCCCTTCTCTCCTGCAGGACGCCCCACATCTCACTCCCTGATGGGCCAAAAGCTCCTTGGGTTTTTTTTTGGTAAGATGGCTGTATGGCCCGGGTAGCCCTTAGTTGTCTTAAACTTCATGCAAAACAATTTTGTTAGATTGTATTGTGACAGCTGTCATATCAGCCTGCATTTTAAAAAACTTACCAAAATTGGTGGATTTTTGTGTAGCTGTTTTAATATTGAAGATGGAGGAAAATAAGCAACATTTTCAGCGTACATGCTTTATTATTTTAATAAAGGCAAAAACACAACTGAAATGCAAAAAGAATTTTGTAGAGTGTATGGAGAAGGTGCTGTGACTAGTTGAATATGTCAAAAGTGGTTTGTGGGTGGGCTGGGATGGGAGTAAAAGGCAGAAAACTGTACTTGAACAACAATTAAAATTTTTTTTAAAAACATGGCAACTCTAAAAAAAAGTGGTTTGTGAAGTTTTGTGCTGGACTTCCCAGAGGACAGTAATTTACCCTCTGGACAAAGTTTGTTCAGCTTTTAAGTAAAAATAAAAAACATTTTTCATTTCACCAGTAAAATTTATTGAACTGTGTGTTCACCGTTTTGTTCTACTATCTGCCGTCTTTCAGGCAACTTCATAATTCCATCTTCCCCAAACTTACCTGTTCCAGGTGCATTTTGCAGTCTCCCAGGGAATTGAAAGTTATTCCAATAAGAGAATTTTGTGAAGACCGAAATAAATGGAAGTCCGAAGGTAGGCTGACTCAGCTCCTCCGTAGCTGTGGGTGAGTTTGTTCATTCTGTTTTCCTTCTGGGGGGAGGCTGTAGCAGTTCAGGAAGGGCAGGGAGAGGCCTTGTCTGTGCTTCTTTATTTTTGAATCCACAGCACAGGGCACACAGTGGGTACTCTGCATATCTGGGAGTTGAATGAAAAATTGAGGCATTTGTACCAGGAGTTGGTCTTCCTCTTGACGAGGGGAGGTGGAATCTACATGGAGTGACCATAGGGTTCAGGGCCTGGCTGGGCAGCCATCCCCTACCTGGGCTTCTCATTCTGACGCATTTTTTGCCCCTGTATTCGAAAGTGATCGTGGGCTGCCTGTGCCCTGGTCATTGATAGTGCAGGGAGAGCAATTGCTGAAAGCATTTCCCCGTGTTTGGAGGGCCTACCCCGTCCCTTGCAAACCCTGAAGCTTTCACACACCTCCACCCACCCACCACCTCTTAGATGCCTCCTGGCCCCCGGCGTCTGGTTTATCGAGTCCCCTCTGTGCCTGGCTCTGCTGGTTTCCGTGAGGCCTTAACAAAGGAGGTTGGGACTGGGTCCTGCCTCAGGCAGTGCTCGGGTTGGCTGTAGAGCCTAGGCCGTGGTCTTCTGACCCTGGTCTCCCGTGTCAGCAGCTCCGTGTCCCTTTCTGTGCCTGTGTTTGAAGTGAGTACAGGCTGTGTCCTGGAATGCAGGCAGAGGAAAAGTGGGACAGTTTTCCTCATCCTCAGAGTATCCACCCCTGTCCCTTCCTAGTGGGACAGCTGTAGGTGACTGGCAGTGACTGAGCATGATGAAGTAGACTGAAGATCAAGGGAGACAGGCAGTCAGTGTGTTCATATCCTGTCTGGGATGCCCCACGTGGCTCTCTGTTTATGATGGTTTTCCAGAGGTAGAAGCAGTGCCAAGTGGTCAGTCACATGCTGACTCTTGTCCCCTACAGGAGTGTCGTGTGACTGCTGTTCCATGTATATGAGAAGCATCCTCGGGGAGAGCCTGAGTCATGCGGTCCCGGGTAAGTGACGTCCCGTCCTGTCTGGTTCTCTAGACCTCAAGTTCTGTGTGGGTGATGAGGTGTGGGGGGTGAGAGCGCAGGCAAAGGCTGTTGGCTGTGTTCCCAGCTTTGCACCTTAGACCAGTGGGCACAGGCCTGGGCACTGTTCTGCTCCTGTGAGCCCCTGCTGGGGGCTCCTGAGGTGCCGAGAGGAAAACAGCGGTGTGTGGGAATGGACAGAGGGCTGCATGTTAGAGGCAAACCTGGGTTCACGTCTAGCAATTAGCTGAGTGCTCTTCTGTGAGCCTGAGCGGGAATCCTGTGAAACCTTCAACATTGGCCTCACGCACACTCAGTCCTTCAGCACCCAAGGACCCTCACTGTTCCTATTGCTAGTCATCCCTTTAACTGTCAAGTTTTGGCCGGGGCCTGGTAAGTAATCTCTCACAATCAGATGTGGCTTCTGTCTTCGTAGGCCGTAAAGCCGGTCATTGACCAGTCTACTCAGTCCAGGCCATTTCTCAGGCTGCTGGCAGTGGCCTCCCTTCCCGCCTCACCAGCTGCTCTTTTCTGCCCCTGCATTCGAAAGTGATCGTGGGCTGCCCGTGCCCCGGTCATTGATAGTGCAGGGAGAGGAACTGCTGAAAGCATTTCCCCGTGTTTGGAGGGCCCTCCCTTGTCCCTTCTAAACCCTGGAGCTTTCGGACACGTCTTCCCACCGGTTGGTGTTACTTCCTGGTACCTGGTGCCGCGTGGCTCACTGGGAGGTCCTTTTGCTGGGCAGGGCTCTGCCTTGCAGAGGTTATGGTTGGGGCTGGTCACGCTGCTCCTAGGGCTCCCCTCATGGAAGCTTTCTCTGCCCCTGCCCCATCTCGTGCACCCCTTCCCGCGTCCTCAGCCCTGCCATCTCGGTCACACCTGGAGGTTGTTGATTTGTCTGTTGCACCCCCGCGCCGGGAGCTTCTCGAGGGCACTGCCTCCTCTGTCTTGTTTTGCATTGTGCCCAGTGCCGATATGATGTACCTGGAGAAAATGAACCAAAACAAGGCCGTGATGTGGTGAGGTGGTAGGGCTCATCCCAGGGGGTGGTCAGGGGAGCAGATCCCTTTAACAAAGTCTGGGGCTGAGGCATTTCCTCTCCCCCCCACCGGAAGTGCTGTTTATTGAAAGGTAGACTTTAGTCCTGGCAGGGACAGGGCCCATGGTTCATCAGGGGTGGTTTTTCCTCTTCCTTTAGATTAAGGGGCAGGGGCTAGAGCAGTAATAGAGCTGGTCAAACACCGTATAGTTGAGGATGTGTAGGTAAGCAGTCCCCAGACTAGATGGTAGACGTGGGGCCTTGCTACCACCCGGCACCCCTCTTGCTAGTTGCTGCCAGTCAGCCATGGCACGCTTCCTGAAACCTGGCTTCAGCATCCTAACATAGACCTGCAGGCAACACATCGATCACAGTCGGCGTGCAGAATAACACGGATGTTACTCCTGATCACAGGTGGACACCTTCCTAGAGTTAAATTGTCCGTGTGGCTGTCCGGGTACTCACAGAAACAGCCCACGTTTGTGGGTGCTCTAATCCGCCAGCCACTGTGCCACTCGTTCCCTGCCCCCAGGGTCTGCGGCGAGTGCCCATTCACGGCTTGTCTCTTGCAGGCTGGTCTGCGGGTGCCAAGGTGCCATGGGAGACATCAGCCATCTTCACGTCAGTTTATATCAGCTGGGCCCTAGACCATGGGGCCCTGAGGTAAGGATTTGGGGCCATTTTCTGGAATTTTGCTGTTTTGCATCTGTGAAGTCACGTGCGTGTTCCCCTGGGCTTGGGTGAAAATGTAAGGCGAAGGGAGGTCAGAGTGGCATCCTGTGAGTTCACATTTGTGTTCCGGGTCTGGGGCAGTCCCTCACGAGCCTACAGGGGAGGGGCCTCTGGCAACCTGCTTGGGGAAGGGGCTCCCTGGGGCACCTCCCTTCCAAGCCCTGGAGTGGAGGCGTGTGCTGCGGTTGAAGACGTGGATTTGGACACCCGAGACTTTGGCCCTGCGTCTGAACCCACGTAGCTCTGTGGCCCCGTTTCACCCTCTGCTTCATCTGAAAGTCAAAGCTGGGATAGCAGAGAAGGTTTTCCCATTTTTTTTCATGGCGGTATCATGACTATGTGATCCTGATCTTTTCCGATCCAAAAGCCTTTCTGGTTTTTTCCTGCGGGAAGTGTTTGACTTCATAGCAAGGAGGTTTCATGGGGTCTCTGCAGGACATACCAGAACCTGCGGGGTCTCTGCCCTGGGCCGGACACTCTCCCTGACCCAGGCCGTTCCCGGGCACCAGCCTCCCACCCTCCCTGGCTCTCTTTCTGTCCCTTTCTGCTCCTGCATCCGAAAGTGATCGGGAGCTGCCCGTGCCCTGGTCATTGGTAGTGCAGGGAGAGGATTGCTGGAAGGCGTTTTCCCGTGTTTGGAGGGCCCGGCTGCCCCTTCCAAACCCTGGAGCTTTCACACACGGGCTTTTTCCTCCTTCTGTTCCCTCCGAAGCTGGGGCCTTTACTGACCCCCGTGTGATGTGGGGACGAGGCTGGCCCCCGGACTTGTGGGCTTTGCTTTGTCTTTTTAGGCTAAGGATCTGCGTGTCGGAAATCAGTCCGTACGTTTACATGTGGACCTCACAGTGGAATGCATTCAGGTAGTGCTGGAGGACACGTGCAAGTCGTGGGTCCTGCCTATGAATTTGCAGGAGCGCAGTAATCAGTAATCAGTAATCCCCGATGCATCACTCAAACAGCCCGAGTGATGCATCACTCAGCCAGCTAGCTGCTTGTCTGCGTTGTCTTTGCGCCTCATCTCTTCCTTGAAGAAGGCACAATACATATTGGTTCTTCAGGAGCCACCAGGAGTGTCAAGTAAACGGAGAAAGACAAAGAAAGGAGGGGCCGGAGGCAGTGGCAGAGAGGGGGGTCTGTCAATTCTGAATCAACAGAAAACCTCATTTGTCACAGGCCAGCAGAAATGGGGGAGTGTTCTCGTCGGTCACCGAGGAGAGAGGAGCACATTGACTGATTGCCTCCTTCCACTGACTTCTAATCTGTGCTTTTGTCAGTTCTCTTTTATTTATTTTTTAAGATTTGTTTATTTTTACAGAGGGGAAGGGAGGAACATGGATGCGACAAACGTCAATCAGTTGCCTCTCACACACGCCCCAGCTGGGGGTTGAACCCACTAGGCAGGCATGTGCCCTGAGCAGGAATGAGACCAGCCTTTTTCGCTTTGTGGGGTGACACCCAACCACCTGAGCCAAAGGTCGGGGCTGTGGGTTCTCTTTTGAAAAGGGTTTTTCTTAGCGAAGGAATTGCAGGCCTGTGGATCTTTGGAATCTGCGTTTGTGGGCTGATGACTCCCTGCCTTGTGTTCTGGTTCATGTCAGCACCGGGTCGCTGACCAGGCACCTTCTGGCTCCAGCAGGTGAGCTGACCTTCTGCCTTTGGCTCTGTGCCCTGCAGGTGAACCTGCGGCGCTGCCTTCACCTTGCAGACTCAGATGGTTCAGCGTGGTGCCCCGGAGAGGCATGTGCTGGCTGAGGTGAGGTCAGGGTGTCCATCCCAGTGAGCCCCACTCTTGGTCTGAGGGTCCCTGTCTAGTTCCCAAGTCCTCGTCCATTGACATTCCCATCTCGTCTTTGAGGATGGGGTGCAGTTTTGTCATGTGTTTTTGTTCCATCTCATGATGACATGAAGGTGGTGAGAAAAACATTTGTGAGCCACCTGGTATATAGGCAGCCACCTAATAAACTTGAGATTTCCCTTGTCTTTCCAACCTGTCCCTTGGCCCCTTTAGCATCAGAGGCTTGTCCTGTCCCATAGTCTAGTTCCTGGGCCTGGGTTCCTCAGTCAGGCTGGAGGGGAGAGTGGTGACCATTTAGAAGACAGTTTATTATCCCCCCAGCCGGAACCCCAGACCTGGTAATCCAGACCTCTGGGTGCACAGTCCTGGAGATTGGGTTGGGGTTCACTTATGGGATGTGCTCAAGCTTCAGGGGTGCGTTTTCATTTAGCCTTCACATGGGCCTGGCAGTTTGATCTTCAGAGACGTGGGCACCGAACAAGTCTTGCTGGAGGTTTACCTTCCGTTTGCCTCCTTTAGCTGGCTCAAATACAGTGGGTCTTTGCAGAACAAGCTGACCGCTGCTGGGGACTTGTGACAGGCTGTGCCACTGTGTGATAATGCGGTGTAAGAGCTGCTGAGGGCGGAGGATGGGGGTCTACCCCTGGTCGCGGTGCAGTGGGACCTCGGTGTCAGAGCCCCTGACACTGAGCGCGGAGCTGACTGCCTGTGGGTTTCTCTGATCTGGGTCATGGGCCCTGAGCATGAACTGCCTGAAAGAAAGTAATTTCTTACTAACAGCAGGCTTTTGAGAAGCCTCTCCTTTATTGTGCTTTCTGTCCTGGTGCTGTCTAGTTAGGTGTGCATGAACTGGGAGCCTGGGCCGGGTTAAGCGGGACCTTCTCAGAGATGTCACTGGGGAGAAGATGGCGCTAGAGACTGACTGCTTCCTCCGCTTCCTAGGTCAGCCTTAGATGGGAGACTGCTGAAGGAAGTCCCAAGGCCATGAATCAGTGACCCCCAGGATGACTTGGGTTTCCTTTTATTTCTCGCCAAGGTGAGTTAATGCCAACGGTTGGTAGCCCGTAGCTGGAGGGTGAGCTGGTTTCTGTTTATGTAGCTGGGAGCTCCGAACCTTTGAACTCACCTGACTTTCCTTTTAGATCTCATGGTGGCGGTTGTGGACGCCCGAGGGACAGAGAGTTGAGGGGGAGGTTCCCACACGAGGCCTCCCCACTGCCTGCTCAGAGCATCACCCAACAACTGCTCACCCTGCACAAGAGATCAGAGGGAAATTCTGGGGTCCGCCTCAGCTGGTTCTGCACCTTGACAGTGACACCCACAGAGGGCCTGCCCCGTGTTCCTCTGCGTGGTATGACTTTAGTAACCACCCCTTTAATAAATCTTACAGGCCCTCTCTGTCTGCCTTTTAATTCAGTGCCAAGCCATGGACCAGCAAGGCTGGGCCTGGAGAAAGTGGGTCACAGGCCAGATTCTATTTTCAGTTCTTCCGCGTTTCTTACCTGAGGCTCCGCACGTGGGCTTCTGTACGGAGCGTTCGGTTAGGGGTCGGAGGTGAACAAGTAAAGGCAGTCGGTTCAGACTTAGGACCCAGGAGAGTTGGAGAGTATTGAGGGTCGAGGCTTTGGAAAGGTGGTTGGTGACAGGGTGCTGATGGCATCGAGAAAGTGGGGGTGGCCTGGAGTTTTGGGGCCTGGCTCATAAATACTTTCCTGCTTATGTGACCAACTGTCCTAGTTTGCCTGGGCCTGAGGGGTGTTCCAGGACGGGGGACTTCATTACTAAAAGCCGGTCAGTCACAGGAGAAGTGGGATGAGTCGGTGGGCTCATCTGGGGTATGAAATGCATGACGTCACTGTGAGAGGGCCGGCTGCTGTGTAAACGTGGGAGCGGCTGTCCTGAACCTTAGGGTGTCCTCAAGGCCGGGCTTTGTGGGGATCATTGGGTGAAAATCAACAACTGCCACAATGTAAGGATGCACAGGCGTGAACTTTTTCATCCCATTTTACAAAGGGAGGGGTCTGGTGAGAGGCTGGAGTGAAATGTCCAGCTTCTGCATTTGAGACTGAAACCACATTGGCGGGGCTGAGGCAGAACTCGGGCTGTCTGGCCTGTCTGTGTTCCGTACCCTGGTGACCTCCCCTGCAGGCGCGGGCATTCTTCCTGGCCGACGGGCTCCACTCCGCCCCGCTCCTGGCTCCTAGCTGAGGTGCCCAGAAGTCAGGGTTCCTTTTCTGCCTTGCCCTTTCAAGATACACTGAAGGACTGTCCTCTGACTTCTGTTTGCTACTCTTGTCTTTATTTTTTTTAAAGATCTTATCTTTAGAGAGAGGGGAAGGGAAGGAGAGAAACATGAGCGTGAGAATGAAATATTGATCAAGTTGCTTCTTATAAGCACCTGGACCACTGACCGAACCTGCAACCCAGGCATGTGCCCTGACTGGGAATGGAACCGGTGGCCTTTCTGCTTTGTGGACTGCCATTTTGCAGGATGATGCCCAACCAACTGAGCCACAGTGGCCAGGGCCCATTTGCCACCTTTAGTTTGGTGGTCACAGCTGCCTGAAAGGGTGCCAAGAGAAGGAATCTGAGTCCACTTACAGGTTGCGACTGACTCTGGCTGGGTGGCTTAGTTGGATTGTAGTTTCTTACACCAAGGGGTTGCCGGTTCTATCTCCAATCAGAGCACATGCCTGAGGTTCTGGGCCTGTCCCTGGTTGGGGCGCATGCGAGAGGCAATGGATCAGTGTTTCTCACATCGCTGATGGTCTCCCTCTCTCTCCCTTCCCTTCTAAGTAAATAAAACCTTTAAAAAAAGATAAGGCTTTGAGCTCACTTTCAACTCCTGCTCCCTTAACTGGGATATCAGACGACAGGTACAACTTAGGTGTTACATGTTTTAATCTTCAGCAGGATGCTCTGGGCTGCTAAGAAACATGTAGGGGTGTGAGGAGGAGGAGGAGGAGGAGGAAGGTGGGGCAGGGTATCCTGCAGTCAGGTGTGTGTCTTCAGGTGCCATAGGCTCCCTGGTGACTGGTGGCCATGGGGACAGGGTGCTCATGGTGTTACTTGGACAGGCACTGGCCTGGAGCAGGTCTGCCTCAGGCCGGCCTGTAGTGTGTGGGTTCTTGACTCCATGTAGGACAGATTTCACAACACAAATCCAGGCGACCGAGAATGCATTTATGAAGGCTGGGGAACAGCGAGACAGGAATGACAGGGCGGACGAAGTAACAGGAGAGAGTCTAGGCGGTATTTTGCTGTTAGCTCACGTGGAAGTCAGAGAAAAGGGGGCCCTGGAGACAGGATCAGGGGCTAAGCCCAGGTCAAGCTGCTGCTGCACACTGTTCTGGTTGTAAGTCTCCTTGGGACCTTCAGAATTTAGGAGGAAGTAAGAAGTTCATGTCCGAGAAGGGGCACAGGTGTGCTCTAGGGCAGGGGTCTCCAATCTCTGGGCCTCTGACGGTTACTGGTCTGGGCCTGTTAGGAAATGGGCCGCACAGCAGGAGGTGAGCTTGAAGGTGATGCACTTGAATCATCCTGAAACCATACCCACCCCCACCCTCATCTGTAGAAAAACTGTCTTCCACAAAACTGGTCCCAGGTGCCAAAGCTCTGGGGGCCGCTGTCCAGAGTGAGCCCTGCACTGCAGCCTCGTTCTGAGGGCTTTCTGTCTTTTTTTCTGCAGGTGAGACTCTTAGGGGACAGTTCAGCAGAACCTTCATTAGTTTTCCAATTGCATTTTAATACACTGATGCATCAAAATGGGCACATAGGGGGTTTGGGGAATATTCTTTGGTCTGTTTTTCTTTTATCTGGGGCCTGTCCGGGTTTTAATGGTGTTTTTGTTTGCTTCCTTGACTTAATTTGTCCTTGAGTTTAGCTGGTGCAAAGGACACTAATTGGGTCTTTGTTCTTTATTTTCCCAGGCCAGGGAGATTTAAGCTATGTATTCTCTATTCTCTTAGTCAGGGAGGAGGGGTACAAGCCATCCACTCGCAAGTGTCCTTGGGTAGGGGAGAAAGTTCTTGCAGTTCACCAGCTGGCTGTAAGTTGCTCCAACTGTTTGGCCCTGTTTGATTATCTTGTCTCAGTTTCCCCATTCCACTTGCCCAGGACTTTTCCTGGCTTCTTACTATCCTGCCTCAGGGGGAGAGGAAAGGGAATGGTCACAGCCCCTGGGGCCCCTCAGGGTGGCAGGGGAGGCCCCTGCTGTGGTGTCACTCACGCCTCCACCACAGGTGCTCCTCAGTCTTCAACCTGTTTCATGTTGGCCCCAATGAGCAAGAAGTTCTGGAGAGAGGGCAAAAAGGGCAGACAGGAACCGTCATTTGCTGTGCTGCATAGGAGCTTCCCGGAAAGGGAAATGTATAGGGAGAGGCAAGTTCTCAAATAATAAAAACGAGGTCAGTGCAAAAACCAAGCCCTAGACTTCTATCAAAGGAGGCCCTTATAAAACACTGCTCTTATCAGCTGTCTTCCCACCCCTCCAGCCCCGCCCCCGGGGATATTATTTGCATGTCCTAATAGGCTAAGCTCTGGGTCTCTGGAAGACATCCATGAACCGCTTCCTCCACAATGCTTTCCTCCCAGGAGAACAATGTACATTTGGGTACTGCTTGAGGGGACTCCCCTCACATAATTTCTGAAATGCAGCCCTGGGTTACCTTGGGGTAAGAACGTAGGAACAGTGGAGACACTGTGATAGTACTTCTGGATTTGCATGGTAAAGTGTAGTGCGGTTGTCTCATTCCCCTGCCCCTGGTAAGTAAGTTCCTTCCAGTAACAGGCGTGGTCAGTTTTTCCCCAGGATCATCCCTTGCTACCATGGGTGGGAAGGCTGATCAGTGGCCGAGTAGGGACTCTTAACACCATCAAGGACATTCAGGGCTTCTTCAAGTGGCCCCTCTTCAACCCGGAACCGTTGCATCTAATCTGACCTCTTTGTACATTCTGCTGTGTGTGGCTAATGGGCCTTGTAGATGTTCACTCAATATGTTGGACCTGAATTATTGAGAACTGAGCTATTTTACACGAAGCCCAGATTTCAGATCATCAAAACCTGCTGTTGATATACTAGAATTAAAAACATTTTTTCCTGTGTAAAGCAGGTCTAGGATGTAAGTGGGAGTTGAGGGTACCCTCTAGTTATTCACCAACCTTGAAGCACCCCGCCCAGGCCCCACTTCTTACTGACCTTGTGGATTCGGAGCTGCAAGCCATTGAGGTAGATGTCCCTTGGCAGAGGAAATGGGAAGCCCTCCGCAAGCTTTGCTGGAAGATAAATGGCAGAGAGGTGGGCTGGACAGGAAACACTGGTGGCGGGGGGTGTGAAAACCCAGAACATCGCGTTTGCAACTAGCCAATGAGAATGGGCCAAGACACGTGGTAGGCTGTTGAATGCAGGGCTGTTTTGAGGGGGGGAGGGGGCAGTGAGTATAGGCCAACACTTGGAAAATGCAGGCTCTTTAGGAGCTGACAGCCTCTTGGGTTTCTATCAGTCCTTTTGAGAGCCTTCCCCCAGTCACCACCCAAAGTGGCAGGGCTGGGCCACGCAGTGTCTATATATAGGGACTCATCCCCGAGGACACTATCTCCCCACTGACTCTTTTCCACAGGTCAGTTTTGCTGTTCTTATCCCTTAGTTGTAAAAGGCAGATGGTGAGGCCAGTTGGAGAGGGCCCTGTCCTGGGAGGAGGCCTGCTGGCTTCTCAGGCAGCCGCTGTCCCAAGTACTACTTCCATCCCTGTCCCCCCAGCAAGTCAGTGACCTAACCTGGCTCAGGACTCAGGCATGTTAACTGCAGGTGTTCTTTCTCCCTGTGCCACCTGACACACTTCTCCCTAGGCCTGACTCCTTGTGCCTTGGGGCTCGACTTAGCCCTTACCTCCTGGACTGACCTCTAAGTTCATGTTCAGTGCCTCCTTCTAGTTCCCACAGCCCCCTGTGCTTCCTCCTATTGTGGTATTTATCAAACTTAATGTATGCCTTCCCAACGAACTCCATGAGGGCAAGGCTCATAGATCGCTCGTACCCCAGCCAGCTTGGAAGACAGGCTCGGCTTGTGGAATGAGTGACCTGTAAATCTGACAGCCAGGCTATAATTCATCTTTTGCCTGTGGCAGTCAGCAGCTCTGCTTACCATTGACAGAGGGGTATATGAGGTAAGTTGCATAGTAATTCAAGACAGATTCCATCAACTGCTCCTGGAACAGAGGAGGGGCCAGAGCAAAAGGATCAAACAAGACATGAATGAAAATGAGTTCAAGGACACCGGCTGGTGTGGCTTAGTGGATTGAGTGCGGGCCTGTGAACTGAGGGTCACCGGTTCCATTACCAGTTAGGACACACGCCTGGGTCGCAGGCCAGGTTTCCAGTAGAGAGTGTGTGACAGGCAACCACACACTGATGTTTCTCTCCCTTTCTCCCTCCCTTCCCCTCTCTCTAAAAATAAATAAATAAAATCTTAAAAAAGAAATACTGAGAAAACAACTCACATTTAAGAAATCGATGTTGGACTGTATCAGTTCCAATTTCAGCTTACTGTGTGGAGAAAAGAGGGGCGTGGTCAGCCCGGCCCCAGCTGTACTTTTCCACACCCCAGGGTGGTGTGCAGCCTCTGTGGGCAAGGGCGTGTCAGGGGCTAAGCACCAAGGGTCTCTCCGCAATCAAAAGCTTTAAGCATGCACTGTGACTTAAGAGGTGACATTAAAAAAATAGTGTAATCTGAGCACCTTTGATAAGTTGGAAGAAATTATGATGACAAATATTAATGGGAGAAAGTGGAATATAAAATGCAATGCACTGTATGTTTCCTGTCATATAACTGTATGAAAAAAGACTGGAAGGAAACATGAAATTATTAAGAGTGATAATCTGTATGGGGCAAAATTAGGGGTGATTTCTGTTTATACTTTAGTAATTCCTTTTTTTTTTCTCGCCATGAGCATGGATTATTTGTATAATGTGGGAGTGGACAATAAAAATAGAAAAAAGAGGTACTACTAATGATAATGGCAGGCAGCTGGCAGCCACTGGGGGGACTCCACCTGGATCACTGTCACTATAGAAGCTGAACCCCAATTCCCCACATGGATCCCCCTCTTAACTATCTTTCCTTTGATCCATCCTGGTTCTCTTGTTCAGGAATCCTCCTTCCCCTGGACAGATGTCTGCTTTCTGCTCACGGGGCAGAGATATTTTAATAATTCCTTAGTAAATTTTTGGGTGCAATCCTTTACTTACTTCGCTGCCTCCTTCCTCATAGCCTAAGCCCATGGCTGTCCTCCCCCATACCACAGAGACCCCCCCCCAAGCCAGGTCTATGCCTACACTCACATTGGGGACCTCTCAAAGCCCCAAAGGCTCATCGTTAGCTTCTCTATTTAAAGACTGCTTTAGGAGATATTTATTTTAATGGGGTCAGGGCGCTCTGTCAGCCAACAGGCATCCAACCCTGAGGCCAGGATTCATTACTGGGGTGAATCCATTGTACCTGTACTTCAGCAGGGATTAGCACCCAGAGTGGGTGAGCTGAGGGGCACATGTGGGGGCTGTGGACAGGGGTCACCACTAGCCAAAGTACCGGCCCTGGGCTGGGGGGGGGGGGCTGTCCAAAGGCCGAACTCTCCACTGACTCATTGGTTAAATAAATACTTGCTCACAGATTGGGTATCTGGGCAATGGAGCAGTCAGCAGTGGCTCAGGGGCACCTTTAACACTCCATCCAAAATCTCCACTTCCTGATGTGTAATATTGACAGTTTTTCTCAACCTTGTATGTAAAGTCCTTGCAAACACCTCCAATTGGACTGTCATTCTTAAATACCCTCTTTGCAGAACAGTCAGTTCCTTCCCTGATGCCTGAGAAGGGGAAGTGAGGAGGCCATAGTGATAGGGAGGGAACCTGAAGGTACCTGACAACTTTTCTTGACTTCTGGCTTTTCCCCTGAGGCCTTGTCAATATGCCTTTTCCAGAGGGGGGCACCAGATTGGAGAATGAACCCACCCCAGTGGAGACCTCTGTTTGCCAGGGGCAGCTCCAGCCCTATCACTGAACCAGACTAGACGCTCTGACCTCTCGCCCACCCCATTCTCCCCACACCCATGGCCTCTTACCTTCCTGGGGTCAGTGAGCCCCAGATCCTGTTGGAGCTCACACTGATGGTGGCGGAGATGTTGGTTCTCTAGAAAAGCAAAGGACAACACCCATATTCTCAGGCTACATCAGCATCCTGTCAGTTCCTAGTCCAGGAGACGAGTCTCCAGAAATAGGAACCACAAGGCCAGAGGCAGCTATTCAAGCGTGATGGACTGGGGATGCGGGATGGCGGTGCCTCCAGAGCTGCCTTGACTCGAAGACAGGTGAGCTGAGATTTCAGAGGTCTCCATCTTTTTTTTTTTTTAATTTGATTGACTGATTGATTTTAGAGAGACATTGATGTTTTTGTTTCCCTTATTTATGCATTCATTAGTTGATTCTTGTATATGCCCTGACCAGGGATCGAACCTGCAACCTTGGCGTTATTGGAACAATGCTGAAACCAACTGAGCTACCAGAGCAAGCAGAGGTCTCCATCTTAATGGAAGAATCAAGAAGGGAGAATAAACCCAAATTAAAACCACAGAGTATTTGGATCGGGAGACCACCCGCCTATGAGAACAACCGAGCTTTGGAGCAGACTAGGAGAAGGTCAGAGAGTCCCTAAGCCCTTTTCATATACGTGATTCGCAAATGTTTCCCCCCATTCTGTAAGCCACCTTCTCACTTTCTTGAATCGTGGTGTCCTTCAAAGCACAAAAGTTTTTATTCTAATGAACTCCAATTTACCTATTTTTCATTTTGTTGCTTGTGTGTTCAAGCGATCTGAGACAGCTCTGCCTAACCCAAGATCATGAGATTTTACTACTGTATTTTTTCTGAAAGTTTTATAGTGTTAGCTCTCACACTGAGGTCTGTGATCCACTGGGAGTTAATTTTTGTGGATGGTTTAGGAGAAGGGGCTGGTTCCGTTGTTGTGGATACGCAGTTGTTCCAGCACCATTTCCTGAGAATCTACTCTTTCCCATTTAATTGTGTTGGTCCCTTTGTTGAAAATCAATTGACTATAAATGTGGGAAATTAATTCTGGATTCTGAATTCTATTCCATCCCTCTATAGATCTGTCCTTGCACCAGTACCATACTACCTTGAGCTCTATAGCCTGATAGTATGTTCTGAAATAGGAAAGTATGAGTCATGCAACTTTATTTTTTTTCAAGATTGTTTTGGCTATTCTGGGTCCCCTGAATTTACATACGAATTTTAGGATGAGCTCGTCATTGGGCCAGTTGGAATTTTGATAGGCATTGTGTTGAACCTATATATCGATGTAGAGAGTATTGCCACTCTACAAGTTCTTTAAAGTTTATAACGTCTTTAAAAATATAATTTAATGACTTTTATTTATGACAATTTAAATAGTTATGCTTTAAACAATTTTCTAAAGGACACACATAGAATCTTCAACTCAGCTGGAGTGAATGACATTTAAGGTTTCTCACAACTCTGAATAACCGTGCCCTTGGGAAGCCTGGCCGATCAGACCAGAGGCCCACTTATACCTCCAGTGGAAATAAGTAACCTCCAGCATCTATCAGCTGGATAGCCTCCCAGCCTTTCCACAGAGGGAAGGGCTTATACCCACGCCAGCAGGACCCTTAGCTGCCCCAGCCAGGGTCAGACTCACCACCCTGAGTTGGAAGAGTAGCTCTCGGTCGAGGGAGTCGGGCAGGAGGGTGAAGGCCTGGATGTTTATCACTGGCACGAGGGTCACATTTCCAGGGGTGAACATGAGGCATGGAGCTGATTCAGGTGACACCTCAAGCTCTAGCTCCATATTAGTGTACAACTTGGCCAGCTGGAGGAAGAGGGCAGAGACTCAGGAAAGGGCAGGAGACAACCAGAAGGACCCAAAGCTGTATTCTAATGGAAAGGGCTAGATGGGTAGATTCCCACAGTTCAAATCCCTAAGGGCCCGAAACCACCAGCAGCAGCAGCAGCAATGTCACAGGATGAGGGAATCACATTTTCCCGAAATGCAACCTGGACAGCGTCTCGGCTGAGGTTCCCCCTCGTCTCCCACCCATAAGGAGACCTCTGAATGGAGGTGTCCAGGCTGGGAGCGCCGATGTGCCTGTCCACAGTGGGGGTGGGGTAAGGGCAGGGCTTGAGTCCTTGGCTGCTGAAGCTCCTTCTAGAGACTGACAAACGCCAGCCCTGCTCCAGGCCTGGTCTGGCGAGAGTGCCAGGGAAAGCCTGTGTGATTGCCTACATTCGGGTCTGGAAGATCATGCGTAGGACTTCTGCCTGGTGTGTGTGGCCCTCTTCTAATAAGCACACTTGGCTCTTGCCCGCGCCAGCTTGGCTGAGATTTCTCAGAGCTACCGTAGCGTTTACCCGATCTGCCCGCCTGCCCCCGCCCTTCACAGGTGTCCGTCCTGCATCGCAGTCTGAGGACTCTTCCACCACCTGCTCCTTCTCGCCTTTGTCTTTCATGGGTGTTTCCCTAATAAAACTCCTCTGAGTCTAATGCTGCCTTGGCATCTGCTGCTTGGAGGACTGTGGGAAGAAAATATCAGGCCAGAGTCTGTCTGGTGTTTTAAAGTACTGCTAAGCATAGCTGATACTATTGTGTGTTAGACACCAAGCGCTGTATGATTTCTTAGAGAACCCCTGGCGTCCATGTGCACAGAGAGGGAAACTGAGGCACAGCCTGGCCTTGACCTCTTGTTGGGCAGGCTCCAAATTCTACATTCTTCCCCTAGCTTCTCAGGGCTCCCACCGTGGGTCTACAGTCCTACTTGGTGCTCTCTCCTGGTTACCCCTTACTCACGTGCTCACTTCGGATGGTGAAGTTCATGTGCCCGGCCTGGTAGTAAACCCAGCTGGCTGTGTTGAAGACGTATTCGGAGACTGCAAAGTAGATCATGAGGTCATGTTCCTGGGGCAGCTTGATGGGCGGAGCATCAAAGGGGGCCTTGGTGTGTCTGCCGTGGCCAGAGAATTTACCCTGGAGACAGAAGGACATATCAGTCACCCAAGGTCCCTGCCAGTGAGGGGACCTTGTCAGGCAGCCGTCAGGCAGAGGCACCCAGAGCCTGCCTGGGGGAGGCCTCCTTGTCCAAGGTGGTGGCCAGAGTGGCGGTTCCTCTGCAGAATGTGGGGTTGGGAGTCCTGAAAGATTGCCTCTGTCCCCTCAATATCTAGGTCCTGACAGCTGCCTGAAACCCCTCTTCAGTGGGGAGGCATGTCCTGTGTTCTCCGTGGCTCAGGAGGTGGGACAGGAAGCACAGTTGGTGGTGAAGAGCAGGGACTCTGGAGCTTAACTGAGTGGCTTTGAACCCTGGTCTGCCTCTTCCTACCTCTGCAACCTCAGGCAGGTTAACAACTGCCCTTGTGCCCCACCCTCCCCACCTGTATGATGGGGTTGATGCTAACAGTTCCTACTTCACAGAGGTCGTATGAAGGTTAAAGACGTGAATATTGAACAGCACCTGTGACATAGTAAGGAGCATATGTGTTTCTTCGATAAATAAAAGTGGAAGAGGTGGCCCTCCAGGGCCTAGCTCAACCCACAGGGAAGCTGTGGAAGAGACAGGAATGAAGAGGGGGCGTCACTAGTGTCCTGTTGCTGTTGTGACAAAATTACCTCCACCTCCATGGCTTGAAATTGCACAGATTTATTCCCTTAACATTTCTGCGGGGCAGAAGCCGAAGTTCAAGATGTGAAGGCTAGGCTCCCTCTAGAGGCTTCAAGGGTGAACGTGCTTCCTCATCTCTCCTTCCTTCTCAAGGCCCCTGCACTCTTTGGCCTGCGGCTCCCTCCCTCGCGGCACCTCTTGCTTCACTCCAGCTTCTCACTTCCACTGTCACCTTGCCTTCCGTCCCTTACCTCGTACCTCCTTTTTATAAGGATCCCCATGATTATAATGGGCCAGAATAATCTTGTCATCAATATCCTTAATTTAATCACAGCTGCAAAATCCCTTTGGCCATGTAAGGTGACATAAACATACAGATTTCAAGGATTAGGATGCGGGCCTATTAGAAAGCCATTCCTCAGTCTTCTATTGGCGGAGGCAGATAGTATTAGCAATGCTACCCCACAGGTGTGCTGTGTGCCGGGCACCTAATTCACATCTCACTTAATTCCTATAGCAGTTTTATGAGCTAACGTTATTATTATTCCAATTTAATAGAGGCTCAGAGAGGTGAGTAATTCCTCCAAGGTTCTCCACCACATAAGTGATAGAGCCCAGGTTCAAGGTCAGGTCTTCTGGACTCCAGACAGATTTACCATGTTAGTTCAGAGACCTTGTTTCAGGTTTTGCCCTACAGTGCTGAGTACTGCTCTGTCCACCGTGGGCCCTGGTTCTGGATGTGGATGGAGAGGCAGGTGAAGTGGGGAGGGATGGCAGGCGCTGACCTTGGGAAGTGGAGCTGGTTTCCTGCCAGGCCTCAGCTCCAAGGCCCTTTTCCCATAGCCCCTTACCTTGAAGGGAATGTCCAGGCCTTCTGAGGTCACCTGGGGGGCTCCCACTAAACAGTAGTTAATGAAAGCAACCTGGTCAATCTTCAAGGTGACTGTGGAATAGGAAAGAGGCAGCATTGTGAACAGGGCAGCAAAACACAGTTGTGGAAGTTGCACGTTGAACAACCCCAGGAAGCTCCGTTCTCACGGACTGTAGACTTTGGAGAATGGAAATGGGCTGGGGCATATCCATGGTAGCTTCGGTCACAGAGAGAGTACTTCATTCATTCATTCATTCACAGTCATTCACTCATTCAGTATTTACTGAGCACCTGCTGTATGCCAGGTGCTATGCAAAGGGCTGATGAAACGGCTGAGTGAGACAGTCTGAGCTCCTGTCCTCATGGAACTCATAAGTCCAGGGAAGAAAATAATCAGATATTCAAGGAAATAAATGCACCATTGCAAGTATATTAGGTGTTAGGTAGCAGAAGTCCATAGGAGGATGCCAGCCATCTAATAGGAGTAAAGTGGGAGGTGGCAACCTGACTTGGACAGGGGGTCAGGGAAGACTTCCCAGGAGAGGTGTTGCTGTGGCTGAGATGTGCAGGAAGAGCAGGTGTGGACTGGGTGAAGGGGGAGAGGTGGGGAGGAAGGACACTGGAAGAAGGAATGACATGTGCAAAGATCTTGTAATGTTAGAGAGCACTGTGTATCAGAGGAACTAAAAGGGACCAGAGAGGCTGGCCGAGCCGGGGAGGGGAGCGAGATAAAGCTGGAGCTGGGGGGTGTGGCTGAGCCAGACCATGAGGGGCCTTGTCTCCAGCAGCTAGGCTCAGCATTCTCAGTCAGAGGAGTCTTTGGTAGATTTTTAGAAGAGGCGGAGACCTGACTTAGTGTGTGATTGTAAAAGGTCCCTGTGGCAGGTAGGGGTGCAGGGCTGGGAGGGCCCCCAGCCCTGCGCAGGGAGCTCAGAGCACCCCTGTTTTGTAAAAGCAGCCAGTACAGAGCCAACACATGATTCTCTCATGTATTCCTAATTTTCTTCCCACTTTATGCTCCTGGCAGGTTTCCGAGTCACCACCCTCAATCACCTTATAGAGCAAACTACACTCACCCCCTCTCCTCCCACCACCCTGAAAAAGATGGTTGCCCCATATCTAATTCTGTAGGATGGACAGATACTCAATGGGGAAAATTCTCCCAGGGCTCTTGGTAGGTCGTGCTTCCAGGGATATTGGGTGCTGTGGCATCTGACGGCACCCAGGGGACTGAGTTGGGGGGCATCCCAACCTGGCAGAGTCCGGAGGTAGGGCTTCAGGTGTGAGGTTGTTAACTCCTCGACTATTTCGCAGATCTGCCAAAAGTGGGTGAGAAAGCCAGGTGAGTTCTTCCTCCCATCCTCCTCCGCCACCACACCAGGAGCCCTGCCTTGTGTCCCCACCCTGGGTAAGTATGTGAGGGGAGGGACAGCACAGTGAAAAGGGAGAAGAGACTGCTACCCCCTGTTCACACTTGGTCGTTGTCCCATTTGGGCCAGCCTCTCACACAGGTGGGCCCAAGTTAAAAGTTCCTGCGCTTTTCTGGAACCCACATTAAAAGTGGGTGGTGGTCAAGTCGGCACTACTGTAGGGTCTGCTACTGGTCATGGCCTTCTTGGGGCTACATGGCAAGAAATGCAGTACATAAATGCCCATGTTAGAGAGCAGAGGGACAAAGTGGAGGAGCTTCTAGGTGCCAGGGGAAGCTCTTGAGTCAGAGGCTCCACCACCCCATTCCCCAGGCCCTTTGCTTCCTTTTCCTGCTGAAGTTTCTGGCCAGCAGGGAATCCGCAATGGACCATGGTGTTTGGTCTGTAGGCAGTACTAACTATGGCCAGCAGAGGGCTTCAAAGCAAAGCCAAAAGGCGGGGTCACTAATCTGCTTCGTAAACCAAGACTACAGCTTCAAAGAGCTCAGAGGCTTTTAGTCTCCCGATTTCCTAACTTCTGCTATTCCAGCACCATCTTTGATGCTCCAGGGGGTGCCTCAACTTGCCCCAAGATACACAAAGGGTAAATGTAAGAGGTACTTCTTTGCCTCCACGACCAAGGTTTTTTCCAGAGTTGGGAGATACTGAGGGCCAACCTCAATACTATTCTCAATATGATGCATTTTGGGGCAGAGAGGTTTTATTTAAAAAACATTTGTGATTGATTTGTTTTGGATTTTAGTTCTTAGATCACTGGGGGTTGATTTTTGTGTGTAGTATGAGGGAGGGGTCCCAAAATCACTTCCCCATATTGCTCTAACATTACCTACACCCAGATGTCAAACCCTCTGCCAGTTTCAAATGTCAATTTCGCGTATGTGACCATAACACTGGGGGAAGCTTTGAGGTTTGCCTTTACACAGCAAACGAGGAAGGTTTTGCTAAGCAAATTCAGATGGCAACCTACTTTGGAGACAAGGCTGTTTCCAAAGACCAAAAATACCCCTGCCAATGATTCTTAACTGCAAATCTGCATATCCTTTGTTTACCTTTTCCTCCGCGATCTTTTTGAGCTTATTTTCAATAACATTATGGAAGAGGTTCAGGAGCCAGCTGGAGAAAAAAGGAAGGGGGTCAGGAGCCAGCTGATGATTAGCTGAGACCCCCAAGAGGAGGGCTATCCACGGACTTGAACTTTCTCGTGTTATCCCAAGGAGGGACACAGCCAGGTGAATTTAATCCAAAAGTAACCCTTGGGTACTGGGAAGCCCTCACTTTTCAGATGGGCAAAAAGCTAAATCTTCGTTCATATGCTGTGTTGGTAATAGTGGGAAGAAATAGACACTTTTATACCTAGCTAATGGCAGGAGAAACTAGCAAACCCCAGGGAGGGTAATTTGTTAGTATATATTAAAATGAAAAAATGCACATCCCATTTTAAGAATTTATCCTATAATTTATTTCAAAATGATATTATGCAGAAAGTCACTTTTATAACATTGTTTGTAATAGTGAAAGAGTGAAAAAAACCTCAAGCTAAAAAAAGTGTTAATAAAGGACTGATTATTATATTTTAGTGTCTTCATATAATGGAGTATTTTGAAAATGAAACTCTTGTGTTCAGGTGTGGAAAGGCTTACAAAGGCATTGTTAAGTGAGACAAGCTAGGGATGTAATTCTGTTATAGCACGCTACCATTTCTGTCAAAAATAAAAGTGTGCAATAGTTAACTGTTCAGGCATAGACTCTCAGAGAACGAGATGTTAGACGCTGTTAATATTGGTTGTTCTGCAAGGAGAGCTGGTTGGTGAGGCAACCAGAGTGGGGAAACACTTTTTTCATTCTGTACCCTTTGCCCTTTTTGAATTTGGAACTATGCAAATAAATCACCTATTCAAAAACATTTACATTTTTTAAGGTATAATAAGGAGAGTAAGACCTATTCTTTGCACCCTGCAAAATCCACCAAACAACTTCTGGCTGTTTAGATATTAGTCATTCACTCACTCATTCATTCAACAAACATGCCCTGAGCACCTCCTACCTGCTAACCTGGAGCGAGGTGTTGAGGGACGTTGCTGAAAAACCTCATGGAGCTCAGGCTGGGAGTCTAGCCCACTTCCAGTATAGCTGCCCACTGAGAGCCCCTCCCAACCACAGACCCCACTCTGAGGGTCAGGCCCAAAAGAGAGCTTCTCACACTATTGGGGGTGAGGGTGAGAGGTTGTGGGAAATAAGCGAACTACATTAGTGGAACTACTTCTGGTAAAAAATTTTTTCTCCCATAAAGTTTTCTTTACCATTTGATGGTTGCTGATTGGATGATTGGTGGTATGTATTGAAATGTGTGTGTATTATAAAGGGATGTGGTAACAGCAGACACAAGTGCTTCCTGGGGTTCTGCAGAAAGCATCCTGGGGGCTGACATCTACAGATTCTTCTCTCAAGCCTTTTGCTCTCTGGCTGCTGGCCAATGAGAGGCTCGGGTAAGAAGAGAGAGGAGTGGGGGTATTTACACCCAGGTCCTCCCTGCCTGCTGAACCACTATACTCCGGTCCCAGGGCTCTTCTTCTCCAGGGTTCCAGCTCTTTCTAGGCTCTGGTAACACCCTTGCCTTCCCTCTCACCTTCAGCCCTGGGGATGGTAATAGCTCCCTGCTGTTGCTAGTCTCTCTTGAATATTCTCTTCATTAGACTTGTATCACCTAAGCCTTCTGAACTGCCCTCTGTTTCCTGCCAGGATCCGAGGGATGCAGTGCCAACCAAAACAGTCACCCAGGAGACTGCTATCATTCATTTGAAATTCACCGAGCATTCACTCCAGGCAAGTCACTTTGGAAAACTGGAATGCCATTAAAGGCAGTCTTGCCCAGGGGTGAGCAACCCTTTTCTTAAAAGGGCCAGATAGTAAATATTTTGGATGGTGCATGCTATATGGTCCCTGTTGCAACTTCTCAGTTCTGCTAAAACAGCCTTAGAACATTGTAAACAAATGAGAGTGGCTACGTTCCAATGAAACATTGTTTGCAAAAACAGGTGGCTTACTGGATTGGGCCCAGAGGCTTTAGTTCACTGATTTCTGATCTTTGATGAGTTAAGAAATTACTGGTTTCTGATGAAGAGTTAAGGTATCACCGATTTCTTAACTCTTGCCCTTCTGGCCCATCAGGGACATCCCCTAGGTGAGCTGGAGGCTGAGGCAGTTCTGACAACTTCCAGCAAGTGTATGGGGTGACTTACCTTAGGCTTCCGGAAATGTGAATGCTGACATGGCCTACGGAGTTGCTACAGTGGGTCACGGAGGCAGTGGGTCGTCCAGACTTGTCTTTGCCCAACTTCAGAGAAACCGAGATGGAAACGTCATTCACGCTCAAATCAAAAGTACCCTGTAAGGTGCTGGTTGGGAGAAATGGGAACCACATGGTGAATAATCAGTCACTTCCAGAAAGAGGAGCCGGAAAACGGCAGACCCAGGTTAATCTCCCGGTTCCCCATTAACAAGCCGCATATGCTGGCTGAGCCATGGTAACCGAAAAATAAAAAGGCCTTTCAAGGTGAGAGGCAACAAGCATCTATTTGAGATCAATAACAATAGCTATTCTGGAAGCATTGATAATTCAAAAGCCCAAGTAATGCTTCAACTAGGGGACAAAAGCAATGGGTATTTGTGAGAAAGTGAAGGGGAACAATTACACAGAAGGATGGCATTTCTCCTAGTGAAGATGTAACATAGTGATGTTAATTCTAAATAATGCTTTTCATTTCCAGTCTAGGCATCATCAGTCCGGTAGTCATTCTACCTGCTTTCTTGTTATCTTTGCAAACAGTTCTTCGGCGTACGAGATTGCTCTAGGCCCAGGGCGAAGGTTCTGTTGCCCTGTTTTAACGTTGCAAAAGTTGGAGACACAAGATGTGCTAGGCAGTTTCTCTGGCATGGCTGCTCTGACTCTGTTTTTAAGTGGCTTCATTTATATTATTCTGACAGCCTCAACTTACCATGAACTAAGACAGCCAGTGTTTACCGAGTATCTCCTATGTGCCAGGCACACTAAAAACACTTCCCATCCATTGTTTCATGTGATCCACAACTGCATGTGAGATAGATCTGGTCCTTTATAGACTGGACATTTAAGAATCCAGAAATGGAAGTCCAGGGCAGGAGGACTTGCCCTTGCCCAGAGCCAAGAGACATTCTAACCCCATTACTTACATGAAAGCCTTTTTCACCTTCCAGTTCCCATAGACGGACATGTAGTTATTGGACAGGGAGGCCGCGATGCCTTGCCCTGGGAGCAGACTCAGATGGGAGTTCCCGAGTTGGAAGTTACGGATTCCCAGGCTAGGGAAGGAAGGCAGACTATTTAAACCCGGAAAACCCAGGGGCACATCAGTCCTCTGAATGAGTTCCCTCCAGACTCTCACACTCTCTTTCCAATTTATTTATTGACTTAAACCACAGAGGACAAACCACAAAGGAAGCCTTCCCCAACCTTCAAGACCAAAGACCTTCCTATCGTCTGTGACACCTGCCCCCATTAGCTGCCCCTGTCTGTCTTGCTCACTCGACCTTCACCACTGACCCCAGGAGGAGAGGACCCTGTGAGCTGGCTTTGCATGAAGTGTCCTGTCCCCACAGATGGCACTGGGCTCTCCCAGGAGGCAGCTTCCCCTCTCTGCTCCCCACACTTCAAATACAGATCAGAGCTCACAGTTTATGACTGGGATCACCCACTGGTGATCTGTGGGCCATACATATGATTGATATGCTACCAATAGGCTTTCCCTGTAGTGTTCTTAAAATTGGAATCAATCGAAATGAGGAAATTTCATTGTAAAAATATGAAGGAAACACCCCATCCCCCAGAATTCTGGTTTCTCTTGAAAAAGTCGAAAGACAATGTTCTTATTTCTTTACAGCATCAGTCCCTGCTACAGGGAATAGCAGCCACCCCCTAATGGCTTTGCCTAATGATGTGGTTTAGGGATATCGGAAGGGGTGTCGCCCTCTAAGTAACCTGGCCTGGGGAGCACGCGTGTGTGTGCGCGCGCGCAAATTTAAAATAGCTCCTCTTTGCCGACTGTGTTCAGGAAATTGTCTCCAGAGACTTGGGGAGGATTCCAAGAGGCAGCCTTTTCTATCAGTGATCTCCAAGGGCTTATTCTGGACACCGAGGAGACTGGGGAAGAAAAACCCATGCAAACAAGGAATGGATGAAAAAGAGTAAGGAGTGAGGAATCCAAGACGGCATATGTGAAAGCTGGAGGGAGACTAAGGTCAGTTAAGTCTTGGGGAGGGAGATGAGGAACCAGGACTTGTTCACCAGGGACCAGGAGTCCCCTGCTCTGCTCCTCACTGGGGATACACGTGGATGCTATCCTCAAGGGATGGCATGCAAATAAAACGCAAATGGGCTCCAGAAGGACTCTGGGTCCTTGCCCTCTAACAGGCTCCGGAGGCAATCGGGAGAGTGCCAGGGATTCCTGGTAGAGCAAAAACTCAAGGTCACTCTCTGCAGAACTGACCTAGAGGCTGGTGAATGGTTTCCCAGGAAAAGCATAGCACCTTTCAGAGGTCCCACAAGAGCTGACTATGGTCCCTTTCCTTTTAGTCCAGGTGATGACCCCATGTTTGTCTCCCTCCCCCATGACCTAAGGTCCCCATTCTCCCTCCTCCACTGCCCCGTGCGTGGTAAGGACTTCACCTCCAGCACTGATAGCTCACGCTTCCTATCAAATCGGCAGGGACACTTCCTGACAAATCGGGCAAGTTGATAGTGGAAAGCTCCTTCTTCAGGATGGCCATTCCATATTGGTGGGCTGTGGGCAAATAGAGGGAGTTAGCTTGCTTGGAGGTAGCTAGGCAAAACCGTTGAGTAATCAAGCTTTGGAATCACAAGGACTGGGATTGAATGCAAGATTCACCACTTACTACTGGTGTATCCTAAGAAAGTCCCTTAAATTCCCTGAGCCTCAATTCCTCCACATGTAAATGATAACTAATACTAACAATACTACCAACCTGAAATTAGATTGTGAACTCAAAGTGCTGGGTAAATGGCAACCACTGTTATTTATTCATTCGACCAGATCGTGGAAGTGATGATGGAATACAATGAAACTTTTAAGGAAGCATTTCCATCTGTGTGGTTAAACTTTAGGGTTTTGGATGTGTTAATGAACCACAGTAACCTGCTATTGCTTGGGCTATATGTCAACAATGCAGAGTCCCAGGCCCAATCCAGTCAATCCTGGGTAGATCTTCACAATTGTGTCCCAGCAATTCTAACGTGGGTGGTCCATAGACCACCCCAGGAAAAGTGCTGACCTAGTCCTACCCTTAACCTCTGGTGATTCAAGTTGAGGAAACAATCCCAGGGGGTGAAATGCCCAAGCTTTCTAAGCCAGGGAGTGATACAACCTAAGCCTGTGATTTTTTTTTTATCCTGGTTATACCACTCGATTAGGCAATGATGGGCCCCCAGAGGAATGACCAAATCCACTTACCATATTCCAGGCCTTTTCTGGTGATCCTGGCCACAAACCCAGGGTTCGAAACCCCTTCTCCAAGCCTGGAGACCTCTGGCAGCAGCAGCAGGGCCGCTACCACACAGTATGGACTAGCCATCATCTCGTCCTCAGCTTCTTCCTGGGCAGAGGTCAGTCAGGGTCTCTTTGTAGGAACCTCCCTTTCTGGAGGTGACAGCTGAGGCTGAGGTCCTTATAAAGCCTGGGGCCACAGGAAGAACTGAGGCAGCTGGGAATGAGGGCGGGGAAGGTTCAAGGCTTTGGAGCAGCCTAAGCTGCAGCAACTTGAGGTGGATGGGGAGAGATTGCTTATGAAACCATTTGTGGTTTATTTCTGGTCATAGAGTAGCAGAAACAGCGCTGTAATTTCTAGTTTCTTTCTCTTCCAAATACTGCTTGGAGCCGAAAGAGCCGCCCCACCACACCTCTCTCTAGCTGAACACCGTCCATTCATTCCCTGTTATCTACAGACTGAAACCTAAACCCCCAGCCTAGCCAGCCAGGAAGGCTACCACAACTTGGCTGCAAGGCACTTCTCCAACCGGAGAAGCCCCAACCCGCCAAGCCTCCACTTCGGCTCTGCTGGATGGAATCCACTGTTCTCCACTTACATCAAGCAAGACTATCTCCATCCAGCCCGCAAATACGACCAGTGGATTCTGCAGCTCTAGGCTCCAGGAAGTTTTGGATTTTCTCTTGCCTACATTGTTTTTCAATCAACTTGATTGAGGCATACTTTGTGGTTAATCAAATGCACACATTTACAGTTCAGTGAGTCTTGGCCCACGTCTGCACCCATGTAACCACATCGTAATCAAGATAAAAACCATTGCTATCACCCCAAGAAATTCTCTCGTGTCTCTTTCCAATTTCCTTCCCACCCACTATGCCAGGAAGCCACCGATTGCTTTCTGTTACCCTTGGCTCATTCTAGAACTTCATGTAAATGGAACTACCCAGCATGGATGCCCTTCTGACTGGCTTCTTTCAGGCAGCATCAGGTTTTGAGACAAATCTATGTGTTTTGTGCATCAACAATCTATTCCTTTTCATTGCAGAGTAGTATTCCTCACAGTGGTGTGAACAATTCTTTTGTTGTATTTTAGATTTTCTTCATGGGAAATACGTTCATGGCTAAAAAACCAATCAATCCTAATAAGATGTGAAAAACTTCATGCTTACCCACCTTTTGCATCTTCCCAGTTCCTATCCCCTCTTCATCAATTCAACACGAAATTCCACTGTGATAAGCTTGAGGAGGCATGAGAGGTGCTTTGAGAGTTTATATTCTAGAGCTTACAGGAACACAGAGAGGGAGCAATGAAGAGAGTAGAGGTGCTCGTGTTTGGTTTGGAGGTACGTGTAGGAGTTTGGCAACGGAGAGAGGGAAGTTCTCCTGGGCAGAGAGAATAGCACGAGCCAAGGTATGGAGAGAGCACTGCACATTTGAGAAGATGCAAAGAAACACGGGAGAGTCAAGGGCGAGGGGAGCAGAGGGAGGGCCGGGGGTGGAAGAAGTGGAGGCAGAAACATGGGCGGGGCTCTCCTCTTGAAAGGCCGTTATTCAGTCCTGAAGTAAACACATGGAATAGTTTTCATTTCCCAGTCATCGATCCTCCTTCTGTCTTTAGTTCTTCTTCCTGAGCAGGAGGCTCGCATCATGACATCTCAGTTCTGATTCCATCACTGTCTGGCCATGTTTGGTTTAATCTAAGCTTTGGTCCTGTCCATGTAAACTCTCGGCCTCATATTCTTACCATTTTCCCTTCATTCTTGTGCAGGCTTCCATTGTTTTCATGGCTTGGAGTGAGCAAGCATGGGTGTTCATACATGTGCATGCATGTATGTGTATACATGTGCACATGAGGTAGTCTTCTCTTTCATGTACTCCTCCTCTCTCTTCCCAGCTCTATTCTAGCACTGCCTGGGGGCTGGGGGTGGTATCCTCTGTGTTTATCTCAGTGTCGGTGAAGTGGCCCTGGCCGAGGGTCATTGCCACTCACCAAACTTGATGTTTGTCAGCCCAGGGTGGGTAAACAGAGCCCCCATCAATTCCAAGCAGCTCTTGGCAAAGATCAGTCCCTGGGAGAAGCATCCTCTACCCAAAGCCCCTTATTTCATGTCCTCAACCCTAGGCCTATGGCCGGAATTGAGTCCCATGTTCCATCCCTTTGGAGAACGGCCTCTCAGGAAGTGGTCCTTGTCTCTTGTTCGTCTGCCTAGTGCACACGGCACCCCTCGCCAATGTTCTCTTCCGCTGCTCTGGGTCGCTAGGGATGCTCGGCGGCCCAGGCTCAGCTAATGACCAAGTAGGGAATGAGATGTCAATCTGCCTGGTGCAGAGTTCCTGCATCTTTAGGAGTGGTTTTCTTGGGAGCTTTGATTTTATTCAGGGGAACCAACCAGTAGGGAATGAGTTCCCCTTTCCCATAGGATGGTATTGGGGAGGGATAGCTAAGGGTCTTTCTTTATAACTTCCAGGGAATAATTTAATCAAGAGAGTGGTCAGGAGGCCAGCAGCAGTTGGGGATGGAGCATATCTACATTAAGGGGGTCCAGAGGGTTGGACCCTGGAATGATTTAGGGGGCAGAACATCACCTGTTAGGGCTGCCTTAACAGGGTACCTCAAGCTGCGTAGCTTCAACAACAGGAATTTATTTTCTCACAGTTCCAGAGAGTAGACCTCTGAGATGGAGGTGTTGGAGGCCCAGGCCCCTTCTCAGGGCTGTGAATAAGAATCTGTTATGGGGCCCTGGCTGGTGTCGCTCAGTGGGTTGAGCGTGGGCTGCAAACCAAAGGATAGCAGTTCCATTCCCAGTCAGGGTACACGCCTGGGTTGCAGGCCAGTTACCAGCGGGGACAGGGACACACAAGAGGCAACCATACACTGATATTTCTCTCCCTCTCTCCTTCCCTTCCCTCTAAAGATAAATAAATAAAATGTTAAAAAAAAAAGAATGTTATGGTTCTCTTCTCGCGCTTGCGGAGGTTTGCTGGTAATCTCTGGTGTTCCTTGGCTTGTAAATGCATCACCCTGATTCTCCCAGCGTGTGGGTCTGTCTCCAACTTTCTCCTTTTGTAAGGATGTCAGTCCTACTGAGTTAGAGACCCACCCCAGTGACCCATCTTAACCACCTGTGTCTGCAAGGACCCTATTTCCCAACAAGGTCACGTTCTGTTACGAATGAGGATGGCAGTTAAAGTCACGGTGAAGCAGAGATTTGAGTCGGGGTCCCTTGTGACTGCTTCTTCAAGATCCTGTATCTTATTCCCAAATACAAATAATGCCATCAAGTTTGCAGGGTTCTTATGAAAATTAAATAAGATAACGGTTGGAAAAGCACTGAGTGCTGAGCCCTGGCAGTGAGGTCATCCATGTGGGGAATTCCCCTGAGCCGGCTTTCTGAGATATCGGATTTTTCTAGAAGCTGAAACCAGCAATAAAGAAAAACTTCTCATTGCAACTTTCACTTCCTCTTTGGCCAAAACTTGAGGTCAGGGGCAGGAAATGGGAAGCTCATATTTCTAAATTCAAGAGCTCAGGGCTGAAACTATGCCTTCCAGCTATTTTTACAAGACCAGTGGGCCCTCCAGGCATCTCCATCGTGTCTGATTCGATGTTACCTGGGGCTGCCCTCCCCGCAAAAAACTGCCCTTCACCCAAATTCCTCTTCTCCCATGGGTAGGGCGCTCACTCCAAACTGTGAGCACCCAGCCTTGGCATTTTTTCTTCCCTCCCTAGGTGGGACCACTTGACCTCTGTCTCGGGTCCATCCCGATACAGTCTACAAGGATGTTTAGCCTGTAGCAGGAGCACTGTACCCATCCCCGGTTCATTGTCCAAGCTCAATGCCATTTATCTGTTTCTTCCAGGATGGGGCTGAAGCTCTGGCTTACCTGATCAAAAATGTCTTCATAAGGCTCTGGCTGCTGTAGCTCAGTGGATTGAGCACGGACCTGCAAACCAAAAGGTCGCCAGTTTGATTCCCAGTCAGGGCACGGGCACAAGCCTGGGTTGTGGGCCAGATTCCCAGTGTGGGGTACATGAGAGGTAACCACACATTGATGTTTTCTCCCTTTCTCCTTCCCTTCCCCTTTCTCTAAAAATAAATAAATAAAATCTTTTCAAAAATAAGTCTTCATAGGCAATTTCTGTACATGATAAAAATGGTACAAATGATACAAAAGGGAGAAAAATACCTCCCCCCCAGCCCACCCCTGCCCCCAGTCCTCCAGCTCCCTTCCCCAGAGACAGTCAGTGTCTTTCTCATGGCTACTGGGAATCGAACTGGCAACCCTTTGGTTCCCAGGCCAGCACTCAGTCCACTGAGCCACACCAGCCAGGGCTACTATTTCTTCTGTGAGTCTTCTGTTCACACCTGCTTCTGTTCCCAACCTCTAAATGTTGACGAGTCTCAGGCTTTAGCCTCAGCCTTCCTTTCTTCTCTCACTTCCTAGGTGACCTCATCAAATTTTTTGGCTTTAAATATCTTCTACACGTAAAAGACCCCACATGATATTTCCAGCTCCGACCTCTGCCCTGGGCTCCAGACTCAGAGCATCGAATTCCACCCAACACCTGCACTCGTATGTCTAGTAGGCATCTCAAACGGCTCCACCACACACCCATCCAGCAATGAAGCCAAATACTTCGGGTGAAGAAGACACCGCTCCAAGCCATTAGGAAGTCCTACGGTTGCTAGTGGCCGCAATCTGACCACTTCTCAGTATTGCACCGCCCATCCAAGCCACCACCGCCCCTCTGACTTGGGCCAGGGCACATGGTTCCTTCCCCAGTGTTCCTGGCTCCAGTCTTGCTGCCCTAGAGTCTGGTTGCCATGTAGCAGCCAGACTCTTCCTTTTAAAACCGTGAATCTGATTGCGTCGCTGCTTGTTTAAAACACCCCCCGTGGTTCTCCTCATCTATTAGGACCAAATCTACAGCCCGTGAGGCCTTATATGGACTGGGGGAGAAAGGTTAGGCCCTCTCTTCCATCCTGAAGACTGGCTACATGCCCCATTTTCCAAGAGGTGCCCCAAACTCCTTATTCCTTGCATTTTATTAGTAAGGAAATGTTGAAGCTTGTGGGAAAGGGGCTGGTAGGCATGTTGAAGCAAGAAAATTGTCACCGCTCTAATGAGGGGACACGAGTCACCACGCATTCTTCCAGTTAGACGAGTTAGATTAAAAAAATAATCTGTAATAAAATTTAGCTCTTTGGGTGGTTACTTCCTTACTGTCTGTATTTATAGCACTTAACACAGTATATCATGATCCCACAATGTGTTTATCTTTACTGGGCCAATAGTGCTCTGGTGCACTGTGAATTAATTTTTTTTAAAAAAAACAGATTCTATACTTATCACAGGACTACATAGTTCTTTTTAAAGGTATTTCGTGTGGGTGGCTTGATAGTGTTTATTGTGAAATGTGTTTACATTTTTATACATCTCGTAAATTGAATCTGTAAACCTATTGAGAGTTTCTTTATTTTGGCCCCGGTGGCAGGAAGTGGCGAGCAGGGAGATTCCCAGAGCTGTACAGCCCTTCACCCTTATCTAATTCCAGAACACCGCCATGCCCCTCACAAGAAATACCCACGGCTTTGCATAACCTAAAACAATTCTGAGCCTTTTAAACAAGTTTAGGCCTTGTCCATTCGGGTTCGGGCTATTCGTAAAGGAAGGAATTCAAATTCGTTGCAGAAAGAATGCCGAGGAAGGTCAGTCTCAGCTTTTGCCGTTTATAAATGGGATTGTTGCAACAGGACTATAGCCTTGCAAGGCAGAGTTCTCCCCATTCTTTTCTCTCTCCCTCGTTCCCACCAACGAGCAAGCTTGGAGAACCCGTTCCCACTGAAGTTTTCAGGGATGATGACTAGCTACTCCTACTGTCCACCATTCAGGGTTCACTGGAGCCACAGAGAATAAAGATATACTTACGAACCATCCAAGAAAAGCCTGCTGCATTTTGACCTTGGGGGATGAGGAAGGAGAAGGAGGACAGAGATGCAGGTGAAAGAAGGCTAAGGTGGGTGTCGTATTTCCCATCTCTGGACTCTCTTGTTCCTTATTTTCGGTTCCCCTTTCCCAGCTGGCTTTCAGGGAAAAAGGAACGAGCATTTGAGGAAACATTGGAGAAGGAGGGGAATCGCTGACTCTGCTTCCCATTCCACACTCTGCCCCCAGATCTGCAGGAAACCCGGCTGATAGCCCAGTACGGACTCACTCACGGGCCCACAGCTGCGGGTTGTGTTTTCTCTCTCAACCGCTCCATTGTGCCTCTTTGTGGTTACTTCCGACCACGTTGTCACCTCTTCTGCCAATTGCTGTTCTTTCCCTAAACCATTTCGCTTCAAACATCCTTGTAATCACCTAGGGCCAGCACAGATTCCAGCCTTCGACCTGATCCCGTTTCTGCCTGGAAGTGTCTGGAGCCACAGCCTCAGATGCCATCAAGGTGTCTTCCAGCTCATCCATGCAGGCCTGCTCTCCACCATTCACCTGGGGCACATGACAACTTCCTGGGGCTTGGTCATCGTCCATCTTCCTTGGCGATCCGCCAAGGGCATCTCACAACTGACGTGGGTACTTGGATTGAATCTAAGGATGGGAGAAAAGATGGGAGACAACAGGGAGGAAGAGAATATGGAAAGAGGAAAAGATATGACAACTAAACCAGACTTAACTCAAAATTCAATCTGCACACAGATCACCTAGAAGGCACATGTCTCTGGACCCTGCCCCAGAGTTTCTGATTCAGCAGGTTTGCCATGGGGACAAAGACGTTGCATTTCTAACCAGTTCCTCATTGATGTTAGTGCTGCTGGCCTGGGACCACACTGTGGGGACAACTGACCTCGTCCAAAAGCAGCTTGGAGACAGTGCATCTCCTCTGGACACAGCTTTTCACAGTGGGTAGGCAGATCTGCTTCTTCCAAATACCCTTGTAGCCAATAGCCAAGTCCATCTGCTTGTTCACACAGCAGCAAGATGTCCAACAAACCCCTGGAGAAGCTAATGAGCACCTTGGATCTGAATCTTTAGTGTCTATCAGGCGTCCATGTTGGTATGAGCATTTGGTTACTCCACTGGGCTCCGTGGCCAGAATAAAACACCTTGTCATCTACCTGGTAAAGGCCTTACTAGACAGTATGGGGTCAGAAAACCAAGTCACATTCTTCTAAATAGCACCTACTTATACCCTACTAAACTGGGGGAGCAAAGTGTGGCTTCCACTCTCAGAAACCCGTTTATTTCTATCTTGGTGATGTGGAGAACCGGAGAGGAGGTACATCCCACACTGTGCAAAGGGCGGGAGTGTTACTCCTCCCATGCACCCACCCACTCCATCAGGATTTAGTAGTCACCTGCCTTGTCTGACCCTGACCTAGGTGGGGATACGCTAAGTGGGAGCAAGGGAGGTTGGAGGGGCAATGATGATATGCGTGCAGAATCTGCTTCGAGGGCCTATGGTGCAGCTCAAGGCTGTGCGCACAGTGGGGCCTCAAGAAATGTCAGCCTTGATCATTATGGATGTGGTTAAGGGAAGCATCCTAATCGTGGTCTGATACAGAACTCTCTGGCTTCCTGCAATTGACAGCCTCCTTCTGGGAGGAAATTAGCATTCCTGATAAATGCTTAAGCAATTTTCTGATAAACTTTAACAAGATTAAAACCTCTGTAGGGAAATCAGCTACCCAAACATGCAGCTGATTATCAGACATTCTTAGTCTTGTATCCGTTTTTACAATGATTACCCAACCATTTTCTTTTCCTGTGAAATGTCTTTAACAAAAGAAAACTCTGACTTGGCTTTGTGGCAAGATTAAAATAAAACTTTGACACTTGCTTCTAACAAATTTATCTGAAAAAATTTAAAACAGTCATCATGGAGACAGGACATCGGAATAGTAGCTAACATTTAAGTGCTTGCTGCTGGCTGGATGTTATATGAAGATTTTGTACAGCTCAATTTACTCTGTCTTTACAATAAGTTGGGTTATAGTAGCTCTGTTTTATAAGATGATCAGAGAGATCAAGTGACTTGCTCAAGGTTGCACAGCCAGTGAATGGCAGAGTCAGGTTTTGAGTGCAGGCCTGTTTGAGTCCAAAGCTGGAGGTAGCAATAGCTACACTCTTCTGCCTCCACCAGAGGAATTATAGCAAGACACGGAGAGTGGGACAGTCTCTGAGAGATGATGCAGGTATAGGGCTGTGGCTCTGCAAAGGAGGTAGAGGGACTTCCTAGGTAGAGGGCTTGGGGAGGAGCTGTCGGGTGGGGGAGGCTGCAGGGGAGGGACACTGGAGACAGTGAGGACAGCCAGGAGCAACAGCATGGCCAGAGGCAGAGCCACAGCCCACGCATGTTCAGAGGACTGTAACATTCCATCTAGAAGCCGTAGGAGGCGGTCCCCAGTCCTTTCGTTAATAAGAACCCTGTCATCTAGCGTTGTGGATAACTACATGCTGCTTGTTGGCCATTAATGGCTCTGGATTCAGAGAGCCCATCCCAATGCCATCAGTTACTAGCTGTGTGCCCTCGGGCAGGTCACTCCACCTCTCTGAGGTGCAGGTTTCCGCAACTGAAAACTGGCGGTTAACCCTAGCGCCTCTCTCTTAGGATTGTAGTGAGGATTAAATGACATGAACCATGGGCAGTAATTAGTATGAGCCCGGCACCTCCTAAGGATTCCATAAAAAGGTGGGGAGTTGCTGTTTTAACATGCAACTGGATTATGGTGGTATTATGTCACTCTCCATTTTCCCAGGAGGGCTATGAAAAATCCTTGAACTTCTTGTTTTACTATAATTCGGGAGTGTTAGAAAGGCTGCAAAAATCAATACAAAGAATTCCTGAACACTCTTCATGAAATATATAGTCTTCTCGAACTGTTTACAAGTCAGATACAGAACTGGTGGTCCTTTACCCCCAGGTACTTCAGTTTGTATTCCTTAAAAACA